GAACATCCTACCTCCTGAGAATTTGGGGTGGAATAATTAAATAATAAATGCAAAGTGCAAGAGTTGTGGGTGTTCTCTTCTCCTATGAACCCTGAACAAAGCAGCACCAGATTGGCAGAGTTCGATTTCAAAGAGGAACATAATCTTTATTCCTGTGACACACCCTTTCCCTATCACCTGCCCAGTGGTGGAAAAAACCAAGCTACCCAGACTACGTCTTTGTTTTTTTCAGTGGAAGTGTGACAAAAGAGAAATCAATTTGAGGAAATTATAGGAGAGCACAGATGCCTCTGTGTGTGCTTAGCTTGACATTCCCTCACTGACAGTAGTCACCGTAAAGCAGGGACCTCCTTCCAAAGCAGCCTTTTATTCCAGGTTATCAGATTATTTCACATGCTAGCAATCTACAGTAGTAAGTTAATAAGCAGCACTTGGCAAGCTGTATGTGGCGCTAATCTGGGTCCTGAACTCAGACCTGCTTTCAGGACGGTTCAGGCCATGGGCTTTCTTCTCTTCGTCACCTCTTGCTTAGGTATAAGTTTATAGAATTCTTTAACTAAGTTAGTGTGTTTATTCATTCTCCATGCAGCACATGTTTAGGGAGTGCCACTGCGAGCCCAGCACAGAGGCACAAGCTTGGACTGTACAAGGGAACAAAGTGACCTCTTCTCCGTGATCCTGCATTAGAAGTAGGATGTAATCATGTTATAGGCAACAGAAGAAGAGCACAAGGAAGTCAGGAAAGAGGAAGGCAAGTAGTCCACAGAACCAGGTGACAGCAGCTCAGTGTGGAAGAGGAGGCTGTGGGCTGATGAAGGCGAGATTTTAAAAGGCTGCCACGTCATGGGAGAAACTGGCTGCCAGTTTGAACAAAATGAGTTTCTGAGTTTCTGTCTATATATGCAGTGTGACCCAAAAGTACAGTGAATATTTAATCTTAGTAAATTACAGTAAGAGACACATTGCCATTAATTCCTCAGGGTCCTTCGCCTGGCTTTGAACACTCCCATCCTACTGTTCCTGTGCCTTCTGGAAGCAGATCTGGAGACCTCTCTGGACAGTGTCTATTGTGCTTTCCTGGCTACCTCAATTCCCCTCAACTGTCTCAGAACTTTTACCTTTTGCAGCCACTTAGACTTTGGGGGAGAATCCAGATGTCATGGGGTGCTAGATGTAGTAAAATTCAGAGGCCACTCAATGTCTTTCTGAGCCTTCTTTTGTATTGCATGGCATATGGCAGCAGCATTCACCATACTTCTTGTAAGGCCACTCATGAGAGCCACTTCCAGAACTGCTTTAGAAAGTGGACCCCTAAATGCAAATTCAAAAATACAAACTCAAAAATACAAGGCAGATAATAGGACACAGGGTGAGAGGTCTTTTGTAAATGGAAAGAGGACCAAGAGATGAGGTGGGGGTGACGGGTAAAGGGAGAAGAAGGAAGGCGCGTTCTGCAGGGTGCAGATTCCCCACAGGGAATGCTGTCTGCTTGTGCTACAGCCATGCACTAGTAAAACATGAAAATTACGATACGGGAGATGGAAACAGAAAGATCTTTTGCAAATGGGAAAGGAATCTAGAGATGGAAGGGCAAATAAAAAGTGTTAAGATGTGTTCTGTTTGTGCACCAGTGCCCCATGAGGAGCGTAATCATTGTGGACTGTAATCATAGACCAATAAAATCAAATTTTAAAAGGAAGTGGCCAGGATGATAGGAAGGTATCGCTCAAAGTGAGGGGGAGCATATCGCAGGGGATTTATGAGAGACAAGGTGTCTTGCACTATAATAACTTTATTTAAATTCAGATTTAGTCTGTGTTTTGTGTACTTGCAGAAGTGCAGGATAACATCAGTACACACCACAGAGCCACATCTTGGAGAGAAACTGTAGAGTCTGTGTGAGAACACGTTTTTGTATTCACAGCTTATATTCACTTTGTATTATGAAACAAAACAATTAACCTGCAGTTTAAATCATGATCCAGATGGCTGTCATTCAGAACTGTTCCTGAATCTTCAGGCACTCCTGGCTTTATGCTTGTATAACTCAAAACCTCTTATACAAGGCAATCAAACCAAGGACGGGCCCTGCCTTGATGCACCGAGTGGCTGTGTGCTGAGAACAGGAAAGACAGAAAGGCTCCCCCGGAGCTTCCAGATCCTGGTTCTTTTTGGTGGGATCAGACTTTTGGGTGGAGAAGCAGCTCTGCAAGGTGCCTCCTGGGGATGGCAGGTAGTACACTCTCCCTCAGGGTGCCCACACCAACCTGGGGCTGGGTCACACTCTGTACCTGGGGTGAGCAATCAAACTGAAACTCAGAGGGGTCAACTAATTCCCCTGAGCTCAGAGAGCTCAGAAGCAAGAGAGGCAGACTGTGCATCCCAGTGCTCACGACTCCAGTGCCCTAAGCTTCGTGACTGAAGAGCTTTAGACTGTGCCCTGCATGGAAGCTAAATGGCTGGGACAGTAGCAGCCAGCACCATAATTTCAAAAGAAAAATCTTTATAGGGTTTTCCATTTAAGAACTTTTGCATGGAAGAGAGAAAGGAAACAGTAAAAGAAGAAATGGTTCTTTCACTTGAGCTTAATGGAAGAGTTATTTAATCAGATGAATGCTTAAGCTTTTGTGGTATTTTTGCTTGAGTTTTAGTTTATTTAGTGCACATTTGTCACACATAATGACCACATTCTGCATGTGGAGTCATTGTATAAACGAGACACATCTTAATTCTTTGTTCATCCTTTTTTCTTTCCTCTTCCCTCTCCCTCCATCTCTTGGTCACCTTTCCATTTGCAAAATATTTATTTCCCTACTTATTATGAATCTCTCATTTTGCTCTTTATTTATATGTTGGTTTTTCCACCTAAAAGAAGCCAGGTGATATTTAGATGACTCAAGTTTACCATTCTTTATGATAGAGTAGTACTCCATGATGTCTGGATGTATGTTTGTTGTTGTTGTTTTTCTCAGTGCTAAAAATGCAGCCCAGGATCCCAAGCTGCTAGGAATTACTGTACTACTGAGCAATCGCCTCACACCTTACAAAAGGTTTTACAGTTTCTACCATTTTTGCACAGAAAAACCTTTGCACACAGCCTGCAGTGTTTTCTAAAATGAATCTGAAATATCAACATTATAACATCTCTTCCATGTTCACTGACACATTTGAGGTGGATGGTAAATATTTGTAGGTAAATAAATTTTTAAGTGAGTCAGTTATCATTTTGAAAAGAAATTGTATATCTTTCTCCAAATGCAACAAATGTGTTTAACCTTGGACATTCAGATAACTGGAGATTTGAGACAGCAAGTATGTCTTTTACATGTTGAACTTTCAAGGTTCCATTTCTCGAGCAGTTAAGTGTAGTTGAAATGTAGAAGAGCAGTTATTCTCACATGAAGCCCAGCTGTTGTGTGACTTCACAGGTGTTTCTCAATGAAAGCAAAAGGACACGCCTGAGGTCCCAGGTGTTCACAGTAAGCTTCGTGGAACTTCACGCTAGAACAGGCGGCAAACCAGTGTCACACTCTGCGCCTCAGACATCAAACCACCTTCAGTGGCAAATTATGAACCTGAGCCGCCTGCAAGGCCCATGAGTCCACTGTGTAGCTACTTGTTTGAGTCTTCTGAATCCAACTATCTAAAATTCCAGATGGCGCTCTGATTCACTGCAGCGTCTGACTCTAACTTTAGCGGTGTAATTAAGATAGTCAGATCCTGTGGAGCCACCTTCTGGATTTCTACGTGTTACACCTATGGACCCCATGTAATAAAAAAGCTCCTGCAATGATCCTGAAGCCCACTTAACTGCTTAAGATGTTCTTCTCTAGATAAAGGCCTTTAAAGTTCTACTACGTATTGGTAGAGAGTGACATGCAAGACCGTGATTTTCTGGGATGTAAAGATTCCATGTTTCCAGGATTATCATAGGACGTAGTAAGTAGCTCGGGAACCTAGTAGTTGCCTAATGAAATGCAGCAGAAAAATAAAGTAATTAATTAGAGAACTGCTAATAACAATTAGCAGTATTTTCTAACCACTCTGAAGTACCAAGAGGGTTGTGATATAGTCTGTCAAGAATAACTTGAAAATCTTCATTATTTCTAATAGTTTTTTTTTTTTTTTTTTGGTCTTTTCCTTTTTATCGGTACCAGGGATTAAACTCATGACTGCCTGCTTGCAAGGCAGGCGCTTATGCCATTGAGCTAAATCCCCAGTCCCTATTTCTAATAGTTCTGATTGAGAAATCTTGATTTTTATAATGATTGATATGAAAACATGCTCTAATTCACCAAGGTGGTTATTGCACTTATATAATGAAGATACCAGCCAGGCAGAGACTCTCTACCCAAGGATCATAGAAACCAGTACTATGGTGCCAGGTCTGTGCAAAAAGAAAGAGCTTCTATTGAAGGTTGACCCATCAAAGAGTCAGGAGGTAAACTCAGCTGTGTCTTCCAGATTGATTGGTAGCAAGGGAATTTGCAGCAGTGGGTGGGAAGAGGATGCTTACAGAATTTCAGAGTGAGATGATGAGGTTTCCAGGTTCTCCTACCCAGGCGGGGATGGTTGTCATACCTCTGCCTAGGTCATGTTTCTTTTCAAGGTATTCTCCTGTTCTGCTCGGGTGTCAAACCTTGTGCTGTCAGAGGTCTCCCTTCGGGCCAGAGGGCTTCTTTTGCACACATCCATTCTTGCAAGGCCAGTTTTTAAACCACTGCTGGGTCAATCCTGGAAGCTTTGCCTGAAGAACTATTTAAGAACTCACTGCGATCGAAGGAATTTCTGTCTGAGTGTGTCCAGAAGTTACCAGTCACAATTTCCTCACTACGTTTTTATTATAGTCTTTCTTTATTAAGAGTTATGTAGCCTTAAAATGGTAAAAACAGATGCACGCGTAACCCAGGGGGCAGCGCGCCTTCCTCCCACATCAGTGGTGGTGTGATTTCATCAGCACTGATTCTCAAGAATGGTCCTTGTCTTTCTGTCCTGTGCAGCCTGCAATCGCGAACCCTGACATCATGTTTATTAAAGTCCACATCCCGTGGGACACACTGTGCAAGTACGCGGAGAGGCTGAGCATCCGAATGCCCTTCAGGTGCGTGTCGAGTTCCTTCCTTTCTCTCTGGGTCCACGCAGATGGGGCTGCCATCCCGCGCCTCTTCCAGCCCCTTCTGCAGAGAAAATGTGCTTTCTTCTAAAACACAGAATGTCTTGAGTGGCTCTTTTTCCCTGTCTGGTTCATTTGCCTCATATGCTGAGCTTTCTGGCTCTCCAGATTCTTTGTAGCGTTTTACTGTGGATTTTCCTAGAGAGAAGATAAAGTAGTTATTTTCAGATTTTCCCTTTTACAGTCCCCTAAGAACAACTTCACTTTCATTTCCTATGGATTGATACAATTTTTTATTATTTGTGTGGAAGGAGGAGATAAATGTATGGGCTTTTTGCATACAAATTCAGATTTCCTCTCTTTTCAGTCATTTTTCAGGCCATTTTGACAGGATGGTTTCCCAGCTTGGTCATCAGCACCAGTGGGAAGATGGTAGTGAGAGAAATGTGCCTGTCAGAGATTTCCAGTCCTCCCTTTAGGCAAGTGTGGGCTGAGGAGACGTTGTTTCCCATCCTAGATTATCTGCTTTTATTTGTAGAAGATAAGCAAATAATACTTCACAAGTGTTGGCAAAAATACAAAATTTTAAAAAAAGAAAGCCTTTCCAATTTCCCTTATACAAACCATGATATGCTTCTTGCCAAACTCTAAGGCTTGTATAGTTTACGAAACTCGGCCCTTGAAAGTACCAAACAGAGCCTGGGAGATGCTGTTTGTCCTATGATTTGTAGCAGAGGAATACTTTCCCTTCAGGTGACTTACTGAACTCATCTGATTACAACTTGGAGAGATCGTATAACTTTCTACTAAACAGATTTCCTTCACTTCTGGACCTTTTTTCCTTCTTTTCAAAATACAATCTTCTGAAAAATCCTTGGAAGTATATGACTAGAAATGCTTTATGCTGATTATTAGGAATTACATAGTACCTGCCCTTTGTTGTCGTTTCTTCTTGATGGATACATGTTCCTGCTACACAGTATCACACAGAATAAAAACGCTGAGTTAAATTTTAACAACACAGACTTTGACAGCAAACTCCAGCAGAGCTATGACAAATACTCACCCTCGTTATTCATGTTGGGAGTCATACATGTGAAGCTCCATTTGAAAATGTTCTTTAGGAGCCTTAAAATGTTCTGTGGCTTCTGCTTTCTATATTATGAATATAGTTTTCAAGCATAAAAATGTTCACTGAACTTTAATTTGTAATTGGAGATAATATAAATAACATTTATACTGAATAATAGAGGACCCAAATAAATTACAATACACATTTATAATTATTATAATTTATTTATAGTGAATGAGTATACTAATTTCTTAGTGTCAGGAAGTAGTAAATGTTAAAATTGAAAGATAAAAGATATTTATGTAGTATGACTCACTCAAGTAAAATGTATAGCTATAAGATTGAAAATACATTAAAAAGATTATTTCTAGTGAGAAAAGTTATGTGTCTCTTTTATTATTTTGTTTATATCTTTACAAAATCATTAATTTTCCAGAATTCATTACAACCAGTAGCATATGTTAGCTTTACTCAAAATATTTGACTTTCATTATTTAAAAGATTTTTTTTCTCTCATTTATACTGGAGATTGGGCTCAAAATTATTCTGGTTTGTTTACCTGATGTCAACACAAGAAATGTAGCACCCAAAAGAATGAACTATTTTCTGATACCAAGACAAAATTGCTAAAAAAAAATTTCCAAATTTATTCTTTTTATTTTAAGGAGAGAAAAGTAAACAAAGATTTAAAAACAATAATACAGAGTTTCAAAACAGGATAGTAAGAACAATGGCTAACATGCTGTGTATTGTTTTCAAAGTAGTTGCTCTGATAATAAGATAGAGGCATGTAAACTTCCTCAGCCAATACAAGCACCTTCATCCTGGTGCAGTTTCTGTGATGAATACTGATTGTATGAGCTGTAGCTAGATTTACGTACAGGCTGATTGCTTAAGGGTAAGACAGAAGGACGCCCAAAGCAGCTCTCCCTCACAGGCCACTTCAGGGGCCCTCCGACTGAGATGCAGCTCAGGCTGAGTGAATCTGAGTTAAACAGCTGACCCTGGCAGTGTTTGCCAGGGCCCTAAACCCTGCCTCATAGAGCTGGGCTGGGTGCAAATTAGAGCCGGCTCTGAAAGCTTTGCTAAGACACAGTTCTGCTTCTCCTTCCAAGGAACAGTAAGTGATAAGTTTAGCATTCCTGTGTTATCAGTTTGGGTGACTGTAATCAACTGCCACATGGGTTTTTAAGCAGCATTGATTTCTGATCATTTTGGAGACTGGAAGTCCGAGGTCAGGGCTTGTGAGGTCTGGTTGGGTTCCTGTGAGGACCCTTTCGGTTTGCATCCCCACATTATCATAGAAGCAGTGGCTGGCTTCTGACTCCTTCTAGGATACAAATCCCACTACAGCCTCCCCCCCCCCCATGACCTGACTGCCTCCCAGATGCTCTGCCTCCAGATACTATTAGATATTAAGGTTCTGGCATGCAAGGTTTGAGGGGATGCAAACATTTTGTCCATTCCAATCAGTAATGTATGTTTGCACTATTGAAAATATTTGACTTGTATAATTTAAAGGATTTTTTTTCCCTTTGTACTGGTGACTGAACTCAAGCCCTTCACAGTGAGCTACATACCCAGTCTCCTTCTTTTTCTTTTTTATTTTGAGACAGGGTCTCACTGAGTCAATAAGCTGTTCAGGCCAGGCTGGAATTGGCAATCCTGCTGCCGCAGCCTCCCAGAGTCCTGGTTTATAGGTGTGTGCCACCACTCTGGTTACTTCTCTGTCAGTCTATGGAGGAAGATATGTAGAGACAAAGGCTACAATGTCTATAAATCATTCCTTCTGTTAATCAGCTTTCTTTCTTTGCCATTCTTTCCTGTTGCTATTTTGAAGAAATTTTAAGGAATGTAGTATTAGAATAATTAGTACACTCATAAAGTCTTCAAAAATTTATCACACTTAATCCTTTGGTTAGCAACCATCTATTACATATGACTAGTTACTCCATCCAGTATCAGGCAAAGGAGGAAGACAGAGAGACAGAGACAGACAGAAAGAAAGAAAAAAGAAAAAGAAGGAAAGGAAGGAAGGAAAAAAGGAAGAGAGAAAGAAAGAAAGAAAGAAAGAAAGAAAGAAAGAAAGAAAGAAAGAATAAAACAAGTACATTAAAAACATTTTCCTTGGCTTGACCCAGTGCCCTGCCTTTGTGTTTCTTAGAGCTGTGTCTTTGGGGTAAATGCCACAGTGTCCTTAGCCCCAGGGAAGCTTTGAAAGAGGATGCTTTCTTCAGTCAGATGTTTTTTTTTTTTTTTTTAAATAGAATTTACTGTTTCATTTCCTGGGAAGACTGCATTTGAAAGAAGAGTGCTTATATATCCAAGGAGAGAAAAAGAAAAATCATTGAGGTTATCATCTCTTTTTGTTGACGCTTTCCCTGAAGTTTCTTCCTTATGTTTTTCAAGACAAATTTAAAAGGCAGAGGTTGCAATTATTAAACTTTCAGAAAGTGCCACTGAAGTCTCGTGATACAATAATATAAATATTAGAAAATAAGCAGCATTTTCCAAAGTGCATCAACTGTTAGCGCCATAGGAGCTTCAGAGATAAAGAACCCAAGACCAAAGTCATTCCTGAGATTTTTATTTAATAACACACTGTAACTACTGTGGAAGTTTTCAGAGTAATTCTTTCTTTTCAGTAAATTAAAATCTTTGGTAAAATGATTAAAATGAGAGATTTTGAACCTAGGAAATTCTAGGATACTAATCCTGGGATAGTATCAGGTATATACATTTTTAACAAGTATACTAAGTATTACTGATACCAATGACACATGTTATCTTGGATACACATGTTAATATTCCTTAAAATTTTTGTAAATTTCACAATGAAGTTATACAATATAGTTTTCCCCAAATTTCTGTCTGATGCTAGTGTTCACATTAAGAGTTTCCAAAATGCTAGAACATAAGGTTGTTTTAGAATAACCTCCTAGACTAGGTTAAATGATGGATGTAGCATTAACTAACTCCTTAGAAACCAGCTTCTCATTTACTTATTATATGTGCTGTTGAAGCAAGCATTTCTCATTTATTTGTAGGCCACTCCTGAAATTTGGGCTTGGAGTTGGCATATAAGGAAAGAATTCTGTTTAAGCATAGACTACAAAACAAAATGTTTCCATGATGGCTGTGTTGGTTACTTTTTTTTCTCATTGCTGAGATGGAATATTCTATGCCCAAAGTTAAGGAAGGAAAGGTTTAGCTCATGTTTTGTGGATGTTTCAGCCCGTAACACGCTGGCTCCAACACAGTGTGGAAAAGCAGAGGGGCAACAGTTTATGGTGGCAGAAGACAGCAAAAGCAACAAGAGCAGAACAGGAGGAGAGAGAGCAAACGTCTTTTTTCCCCTTATGTTGTAATCAGGCTACCCACCCTAAGGTGGGTATAGCACTCACACCCATAATTCCAACATTAGTCAATGAATCAGTCAGAAACTCCAGATTCAGCCACTTACAAAAGACACCCCTACATGACTGCATGAGGCTTTGGGGGGACATCCAGACACAAACCATAAGAATGGCAAATCTAATCACTCAGTACCAACTCTTATTACATTCAAGAAAATATATCTAAAGATTAAGATACATTTACTTCTCCTTAGACATGAGTTCTAAAGCCCTAGATTCAACCAACCACCAATGAAAAATATTTGAAAATAATTCACTGTATTAAACATATACAACCATTTTGTCATTATTCTCTTAGTAATACAGTATGACTATTTATATAGCATTGATAATGCATGAGTTATTACAAGTAATCTGGAAGTTTTTTAGCACATACAGGTGGAGTTCTATAGGACAGATGCAAATATACACTTTTTAACATACGAGACTGGAACACCTATTGGAGTTTTTTATGCAAAAGCTGCTGGAACTGATTGCCCAGAGATAAGTACATTCAAGAATAGCAAACAGTTTAAGTAGGAAAATACATGTCTCATTTGAAAAGAACATTTTTAAAAATTTTATGTATAAAAATCTTTACCTTGGGATGTTACATATGCTTATTTATCTTTGAGATCTGTTACTTTCCCCTCCAAAAAAAAGTTGTACATTTTTAATTACAAAGCCTTATTATTTTAATCCTTTTCTGCTAAAGTTTTCAGCTTCTTTATTGTACGGACTTGATTTTTCAACATTTTGTCTAAATTTTCTGCTTGCATGTAACAGTAAAGTGTTGCTGTACTCAAATTTTCTAATCCATTCTCTCTTGACTTTTCTTCCAAAGTAAGTACAACCTTTTATATGGAACTTAAAATTTCAAAACTATTGCTTCTTGGCTTTTTGGCTATTATCAAGGGTAAATTTCAAGGGTAAAACTAACACAGTGAACTTTGGAAGGTTACAGTAGGTCACACTTTACAGTTTCTTCCACATCTGGAGGGACTTTGCCAGCGTCTTCTAGATTCCAGAAATAGCAAATCCTACTTTTAGCACTGGGTTTTTGATTCAAAAGGATTGCTATTGATCTTTAGCTCATGCATGAAAAAAAAAATCAATGTATTTTAAGATACTTTTGTCATCAGTAGATTCTTCTCCATGGGATCAGCCTTTCATTTTCTCCTCAAGTTTATTATCCTGCAAATATCTTAATCATAGGGCCCAGTCACCTCCAACACTGAGAACAATTTGTATACAAGTAAGATGGAACTCAGATCATTTGTTTCTGCAAAGCATACCTCACTGGAAAACAAAACCCAAGCATGTCCGACTCCAGCTCATCTAATGACAGGAGCAGCTCAGCTTCTGAGGGACATGCACCCTGCAGGTCCCGCCCACCAGCCAGCCTCCCCCAGACCCTTCAGTTGTCTCCATGGTGGCCACTGACCTTCCAGAGGTGAAGTCTGGTCCAAACCATTACTACTTATAATTGCTACCATGGTTAGATAGATAAGTAAATGCGGCCCCAGTATAAGGTATGAAATAGCAGAATCTCAAGAATGGAAAAATGCAGGGGCAAGAGAGCTGTTATGAACAGTAGGCAGTGAAAACAATTACCAGATGGAGTATTATAGACAGCAAAGCAGTCGGTCCTGGAGGTTCATTTATGCAGATAAAAGCAGGACTTCAGGTTGATGACAATTAGAAAATAGAACATATATTGTTGAGCAATATGTAATTTAAACCTCCCCCAACACAGAGAAACTGTTCCACACAAATGGAAAAGAAAGAAAATAATCTTCTTAAAAACATTAAATGACATCAAAAGACAGTCACAAGGAGTTGAAAAGCCAGAAATAGTTTCAATCTTTTGTGTAACCCGTCAGACCTACAACCACTGCATCAGAACTCTAAGATAACAGACCTTAAGTAAGAGGCCTGGATCGAACCAAAGGCAACAGAAAAACAAAAGCATCCTGTTATATCTTATTGGGTATTATTATGTGTGATAGTATGAACAGATTTTCTAACGAAAATGAGATAATATAGTAGCCACTGTTCATTCTCTGCTATTTGATTCTTTCAGCCTTGTAATGCTTTCATTCTCTTGAATAGTTTTATACTGTTTTGCTATGCTTGATACTATTGTATATGAAGCTATGCTCAACTATTTCAAAGAAAGACACTATGGTAGTGAATTATGGGTTGTCTTGTGGGAAATGCTGTGTTACTTGCATTGTTCTGATCTGATCTGCTTTGTTATGTCCTCTTTTGTCTTAATCGCTTTAAAATAAAAAAAAAAAATTAAAAAGAGGCCTGGCAAGAACATTTATCAGACATAGCTATCTTAGACTCACCAGGTACTTAGGATATTGACTGCCTGCAAACAGAACAAAAATAAAATTGCTCATATCTAAGACAGAAGACACCTAGGTAGTTTTCACAAGTTAGAACTCAGCTTCCTTCAGATTTAGGCTTCTATCCTAGAAGCTTTCTCTACTGAGCTTTGGATTTCAAAGAGGTGGCTCCAAGCCTTCAGGCTGGCATCCTGGGTCTTAAAGCTGATAAAAGGCCCATCTGGTCTTTTAAAGAATTTGTATGCATTTCAAACTGAGGAGAAAGTGCTTACCAGCACAAGTTTCCTGAAGCAAATGCTCTGAGAAAAGGAAGAGGTTTTCTTAAATTTTCAGTTACACTTTCTTTGCTCTTACAGTTGATCTGAAAGATGTGTATATTCATATAGTATGGCTTTCTTTTTCCATTGGTCCTTTCTTTAACTTCTCCCAAAGCATTTACAAAACAAAGCAAAACCCTTAAAATGTTTCAGAGAAACAGTTCAGACTAAGAGCAATCTAGATTAACAGTGTGCTCAAACTGAGTACCACCATGTGCCCCACAGGCCTTCCTGGTGTTCCTCACCGCCTCTCCTGCTGACCACTGTCGCTGTCACCCATGTCTCCCATTCCTCTGGGTCCTGGAGGCCTTCTTTGAGGCCAAAAATTATTTAAAATCAACCTCTACCTTTATAGAACTTTTTGTTGCTGCTGCTGCTGTTTTTGGAAACATTGTTTAGTAAATGTCTGTGCAGAGCAAAATACCCTCTGGAATTGCAGGACAAAAATATAACTCTCGATTCATGCCGTCTGAGGCTGTAGAGGAAATCAGTGAGTGGAAAATTAACCTCTGCTCCTGAGTGTTTACTTGCCCTCAAACCAGGCATGCTGTCCCCACTTAGAATTGTAACCCCTGCCCTTTGATTTCCATCCCAAGCCCTTGGCATCATCATCAGACTTCTCTTCTGACCATCTTCAACTCTCAGGATAGACTCCAGCTGTGACCTGCTTAATGCAGCTCCCTCCATCCTAGAGTCGTGGTCCTCGCTCCCTTCATGTTCTTAAATGCTGTCACCATCTCTAAAAAGCCAGATCTAACCACGTTCTGTAGAAGTTTCCTCTTCAGCATGACTCAAGGCTTGACACCTGGAACACCTCCTCTGGGCTTCCAGTCTCCTTCCTCCACTGCCTACAGAAGTCAGTTGAGGTCCCTTCCTAGACTCAGTAGACTGCTTTGCACACAGCACACTTTATTGAAGCCAATCACCTGACATCTTAATGGCTAAGGAAACTCCCTGAGCACAGAGATTGTCCTTTTTGTCTAAGTTATTAGTTTTTTGAAACTTTTGGGTTTTTTAGAAAATCAGAAGGATTCATTACCTCTAAGTTTAGATGGGTGAGTGGATAAGTGGGTGGATGGATGGATAGATGGAGAACCAACTTCATATAACATGGGACCATATAGTCTGGTTATTATACAGTGCCTGGCAGAGTGCCAGCTTTAAAAAAAGGAATTAAAATAGTATGTTTGGAGGATTTATTGATTTTTTAAAAGACTTTATTACAAGTAACAGATTCTGAAATTAAAATGTTATATATTGATCTTCATGTTATATTCTAAGGCTTATTTCAAGTGATAAGTTCTTAAGCATATGGAACTTGATTTATTGAAATATTCAGTATTATTTAATGGTGTCATTCAGTGGTTTAATTTATTTTCCTGTGACTTTCTTCAGCTGATTCCTACATTTTTTTTTCCAGGAAAAAATGCTATTATACTGACGGGAGGAGCAAATCAATGGGCAGGTTGGTGGCTGATGTACAATTTCTTTATGACTAATTTGTCATTTGGGGGAAAAATTCATTTGATTACCCATTTCAGCAGTTGTAAACTTTAGGCTTTGTGTTTCTTCTTAAACTTTATCCTTGTAGAAGAAAAATTCAGGGTCCTGTGTGTGTTTGTGCATGTATGTGATATGAGTGTGTATGTCTGTGTGTGCTGTAAAACCATTATGAACATAAAATTGCCAGAGTCTGTGCCTGTTTTTTACAGTGGAAAATTAAACCCACTGCACCCACATCATCAGGCAGCTTGTGCTGCTCCTTTCCTGAAGCACGCCCTGTGCGTGGTTCACAGTAGCGGGTGAGCCCAGGGTGCTGTGGAAATCTTCCAGCTTCTGAAGCCGCCATTTCTCCAGCCAGGCTGAATAGAAATACGGTAGCTTTATTGCTGCTGCAATTTGTTTTTTCTATATGTAAAGCATTTTCATATTCAAATGTTAAAGCATCTTCAGAATGGCCCACAGAGAAGGCGGGACAAAGACAGTGGATTTGAAGAAGGGTAGAAAACAGCCCTTCCCGCACAGCCACCCGTCCACACTGAGATCCCGGATCCCCAGGGTGTGACTTATCCCAGCTCTCCTAAGCCTTCAAGGTAGATTTACCTTCAGTTCCCGAAGACTTCTCTTCACTTCCCCCTGATTTTGAAAAAGTTTGTTTCATAAAGCTCTGTTAGTTTTCACCTTCTCATGGAGTTTGCAAAAAGCCCAACACAATAGATGATTATTAAGGTGCCGATGACCTATTACTAAGTTAAATTGGTGGCCTGGTGGTGACAGCTGTGGCAATCGAAATCATCGTGCTAGTATTCCTTGGTCTCATTACGATCACGACTATTTGAGCATACACTGTGTGTTCTGCATTACAGGATGAGACATTATCCGTTTAGTTCTTAAAATATCTCTTCACTTAAAAGATGAGAAAACTAAGAGTAGAAGAAATTAATAAATGGGATTCTTTCATCCTTATGGTCAAATTCACAGTTGACTGCCCCCTCAGTGTCTGGTGTCTTTAATCGTCTCACAGAATATAGGTGAGAAGCTCACACTCATATATGGTGTATTTTGGTTAGTGATGATGTGCAGGTCCTTTTATTTCACATCTTTTAAAAATTGAAAACTTCATTTCTTGTTTTGTAGTTGTGTCAAGAAGAGTAAAGTTCTTGAGTTATAGTACATCAACTTTTTCCAGCCACAGTTGGGATATCTGCTTTTATTTGATTTTCCTGGCCATTTAATGAAGTAGCCCCGAGGAAATTACTTCCTCTCTTCAGCTCTCTGGAACTTGGAGTTGAAAGATTGGAAACCTGTGGTCCAGTTTCAAAGACCAGCAAATTAAGCAGCTGGACATTCATCCTGGCTCCTATTCCACCACTTTTTTAAAAAGCAGTGCTGAATTTTAAAAACCGGAGTCTTTCCTATACAATCTGTCTAACGTTTTCTGCATGCCTGAGCAGCGGCCTCTGGAACACAGGGATTCTGGTATGAATTAAGAGGCTGTCTCTGTAACGAGCAGCAGCAAACGGTCACAGCTGATCCTGTTCCCTTACTGCTCCGGACATGCAGTGTGCGCTGTGGCCCCGCAGATCCAGAAATGTCTCACTGTCCACATCACTGTCTTCCTTAGCAAAGAAAGGTTATGATTTTCATGCCCTAAGCTTTATACTGTGATTTGGTTTTATTTCAAACTTCAGCTCTCAATTTTACCATGATAAATTTGAAATGAAGTGATTCTTGAGATAGAATGTCTGTGCCTGCTCAGAACGGCCCTGATTTTCTTTTCTTGAGCCCCCAAGTGCTGGCTAAACAAACACCATAATATGTTATATGATTGTGGGAATGTACTCAACTGTACTACTTTGAATTGCTGTAGTAGAAGATGCCAAAAATTGCCCAGAGAACCTCAGAGCGTGTAAGCATGGCATAAATTTTTATTTTGAGTGTGGGTGGCTATTGTGGGATTTAGAATTTAGACTTTCAGAGTTAGTTTCTGAAGACAATTGCTCTTAGTTCTTTACTCTCTGTAACATGCATATGATTCTAATCAGTGCATACACATGTACCCTGCAGTTTGACTGTCAGCTGTACTGAGCCTGTGGCAGACTTCCTGGCATGGTGCCTGATGTAGGATTTGCCCAGAGTCTGTGGCAGACCTGTCCCTCTTGTCAGACTCCACACATGGCACCATGAGCATCTCCTGGAAAAGGCTGGGAAATGCAGACTCTCAGGCCCCAAACCTGGCCTAATACATCAATGTCTGCATTTCAACCACATGTTAGGGCATTCACGCTTTGAAAGGCTTAAATGTCTGGCCAAGCTCTGTCTCAGGTTTCCTTATTACTAACGATCAGCTGTAAAGTACAGAGCCAGTGTACAACTCCCCAGTCTTATTTTTCCTTTCTGACTGCAGACTCTCCAGGAAGAAAACTTGAGTACCTTGTGCAGGTTCACTGATTTGGTACCACGCAGAGCTCTGTCCTATTCCTGCTTTGCTTGATTCCCAAGTCCTTCGCCTTCCTGCCCTACTGTGACACCCTGTGCTCTGGTGCACCCTGTATGTGAGTCTCTTCTGTCTTTCAGTCCCCCCTTGTGTAGAGGCATTGTGCTGATTTCCAGAAGGTAACTGGATCTGCACCAGAGAGACTTACACGCACGGACACACACACAGCTTTAGTAAGTACAGCACGCTGGTCTCTTTATACTCTGTCCCGCTGCCATCTTTATAGGTGGCAATTCTTGGATGTCTTCACACATTTATTCATAGTTTTTAGGAGAGAGTTTGTTTATTTATTGTTTGGAGAGAGTTTAGATGAATGCAGTGTTAGGTTTGTTTCACTAAAGTTTTCTCCAGTGTGAGAACAGGAGCAGTACACCTGGATGAGTGAGTGGAAGTGCCGAGTGTCTGTCTGTCTGTCTGTGTTTTTTAGAATTCTTTCTTTGATAGTTAAGGGACTGTCATGGAAGATTCGCAGAGCTTTGGAATACAACCTAAACTAATTGTGAAATGTGACTTCACTCCAGGGTGCAGAATTATTTCAAGAGAATAAAGAAGTGGATGTCCCAAAACCCCATGGTTCTGGACAAGACGGCATTCCCAGAGCTGGAGGAGTCGGACTGTTACACTGGTCCGTTCAGCAGAGCCCGGATTCACCAGTGAGTTCTGTCTCCATCTGTCACCTGCTTTTCTGCCTTTCATCACCTGGGCTTTGTGTGTAACAAAACCACCCCTGGGACCAGTTTGACTCTTCAGCAAGCAGGCGCAGGGTATAACATTGTATGAACATGTCCACCTAACTTATGAATGACAGTAGGCAAGCATCATTCTTGATTAATTTGATAATATAGAGACTTTCCAGTAGCAAATAACTCATTATAATGCCATGGCTGGTAATCTTGCTCTTACCTCTTTCAAAATTATTATGTGATAATAAATCACCCAGCTGAAATAACAACAATGGTAACTTTCTATAAATAATAGAGTATTCTGATTAGTAAATTATTAAATACTATCATTAAAGTTAGTTAACATATTCATTAATTAAGCCATCCATTTTGCTTTGAGCTTGTTAAATGAAGGTGAGAATTTCCTTAGGGAACATTGCATGACTCTGCTTACATATTTATGTATTCAAGCATAATTATTTATTCATGCCTTTATTCAAATGGCTTTTCCTGAGTTTCTACATGACATGCTGGAGGCATTAAAGGAGATTATGACAGTTTCTCTTTTTGTGGTGCTCATAGTCAAATGGGGCAGAAAAAATGTGAGTTCTAATTGAGTGCAGTGGAGAACACAAGATAGGGGTAGTGTAGGCCAAAGGCTGTAGCCCTGCTCACCTCAACCTGCTTAACAACCTGTGTACTTGGCAATTTGGATGTTGAGGGAAACAGAATTCCAGACCAACAAACCTGCAGCCCAGCATCGCTCATAGAAATCCCTCCCTCCTGAGAATTCTGCTTACCCCATTGCTCGTTCTCACCAAGGGACACAGAAGCAGCCTTCCGGTCCTGCTCCCACACCAACCTCATGTCTTCCAAGAGACCTTCTCTGAAAACTCCTCCATAAATACCTACTCTAGTCATCTTCTGGGCACCTCTGTGATTTCAGTTTTCTTCCTGGCAATATTTTAAACTTGCTTTTTTGCTTGCTTATATCATCTGTTTCTTGCCTATGTACTGAACTCCATGAGAAAACCAAGTTATCTGCTTGGAAATACTTGTTCAGAAAGGCCGCCTCAGCCTGATGGTGACAGAAACATCAGAACAGGGAAATTTCCTCTGCTGCCCATCGCTGTCAGGACTCTGCATTTGCTGATCTAGGTGCAGAGATAAAGTACAGGGAATCAGAGTATTGAAGAACTCCCACACTAAGCTGATGTGTAGATGTGCAGAGTAAAATCAATGATTTCGGAAAGACACAAATAAAATGCATGTACAATAAACCAACAATGGAGGGCCACACTAAGAGTATGGGGTCTGGGAAGCCTTTTTCAAGGTGAGAGCCCAACACAGCATGAACGAATTAGGCAGGAGAGTGGGGAGAGGAGTAGGAACATACACTAAAGAGCAAAATCCATAGCAAAAAGCCAGGATTTTTTAATGCAATGGAAAGTTATGCACCTTGACAGATAAGAAAACACAAGACTCCAGAGCTGTAAGAAATGATTAAAGGTTTGATTTGAGTACAGTATAGAGAGATGTCAAGGAAAATGTAATTTTAATTGTGCTCAGGATAGAGAGCCAGGGGACCTGGTGTGCAAAGAAGCGAGAGCCATGAGGATCCGAGCTGGGCTTTAGAAGCCAGATGAGTAGTGAAACGGGGGGCGGAGGGTGATGAGAAGAGTCTCATCATGGTCTGCAAGAGGCCGTGAGATCAGAGCAGGAGAAGTGGGGCCAGTGCCGGAGGGAAGCAGGTTGGTTCCACAGGCGCCTCCATCTGGTGCCTCCATCTGGACTCTGGGCCTACAGAGGATGAAGAAGAGGCAAGGATCAGGAGGGACCTAACACTGAGGACTGAGTGGGTGATGGATGAAAGACACACAGTGCTTTCTCATGTGCAGGGCTAAATCGCTGGAGACAGGAAGGCTCAGATTTAAATGAATGAGAGCTCGTGTCAGTACCTCTCTCTCTCTCTCTCTCTCTCTCTTCTCTCTCTCTCCTCTCTCTCTGTCTCTGTCTCTGTCTCTGTCTCTGTTTCTCTCTCTCCTCTCTCTGTCTCTCCCTTTGAGGCTGAAATGTACCATAAAATAAATGCTAAAGCAAACCCTTCACTCCTTTGCCCTTTGGGCCTTTGGGTCTCATGTGGCCCCCCTGTTTATCCTTATGCATGGAGGGAATATAGGACATGGAGGGGGAGGGGAAATTCTTGCTCACTGATAAATTCTACAAACCAAAAAAGCTGGCCCAGAAACTGTGGCATGGAGGAATAACATCAATTTTTAATGCAGTCTATTTGGAATGGCATGGCGTGAGGTAGTACAAAATTCATGTGAATCCATGGACCATCTATCCTCCCCTTGTTCCATGCCAAATGAAAAAATATATATATGAGAATACTTAAACTTCCCTGTACATTGAAAGAAGATAGCAACATGAATATTTGATCACCCCTTGCATTTTCTATGAAGTCTCTCTTATCCTTTGTCAATTGATTTTTTAAAAGAAGGGCTTCTCTTCTGAATTACTGTACCAGGCTGGCATTAGCGTTAATGGAGCAGAGAGATGCATGGTTACCCAGGGACTTGGAACCACCACTGGTCTTTGTGCTCTGCCCGGAATCTTAAACATAAACATGGCCCCTTTCTCTTCACAGCTTCATAATCAACAATAAGGACACCTTCTTCAGCAATGCCACTCGGAGCAGGATCGTGTATCACATGCTGGAGCGCACCAAGTACGAGCATGGCATCTCCAAAGTGGGTAAGATGCTATTGCAAGCCAGAGGGAGACGTGGGGCATCAAGCCTCAGACCACTGTGGGTTTGTTTCTCTGAATAACTGAAGCCTTTCCTACTTCAAATACAAGTATCTAACACATCGGACACCAATTACATAAACTTGCTATTTTGTAACTCTTTAAACAAACAAATAAACAAAAAAATGACTTTGGAATAGATTTGTCTGAATATATCAAAATGTGAAATGTACGCATTCTTTAGGGAAAAACTTGTCTTTTGAAGTTTATCTTAAAATAAGAATCAGACTTTTGAATGACAGTATAGAAAGTGGTTCATTACTTCTCTGCAATAGAACAAAACTAACGATACTAAAATGACCAGCATTGTGGACAGAACGGTAAGTTAAATATCACCTACATAGACCATTCATCAAAAATTATATTTATTCTCTCTTCTCTGACCAGTCACTGAGCATGTGTTATATGTTGTACAAAGAGTGTGGCACAAACTTGCTGCTTGTAGAGATTAAAAATAAGTTGTTACTTCTCAATTTATTGACTTGAGAGAGATCCACAATGATTATTAGGTGAGAAGAAGTGTATTATGGAACTCTAAATCTTACATAATTCAGTTTCCTAAATACACATGTGTGAAAAGAAAGAAAATTCTAGGAAAATATGTTTTTAAAAAATTGTAGAGATTTTTTTTTCTGGATGGTGAAATATCAGCTAGTTTTAATTCTCTAAATTTCTGTGTTTTTTAAGTGTTAAGTGTCTTCCTTCACATAGATAATGCCAAAGAAAACTGAGTGTCTCACCTAGAAACAATTAAATTAAATTAAATTTTAAAGCTCATATAGAGTAAAGAAACAGAATGACAGGGAAGAAGCATCCCCTTTAAGGATAAGGCTGGAAACATTCTCAGCAGTGACACCAAATGTCAGGGAAATGGCCTAATGTTCTGGAAATTACAAGATTCAGTTACTGAAAATGTGTACCAGCCCCACTGATTTTAATTAAGATAATAAAGTGATAAAGTTATCACTTCATTGATAAAGTGAATTGTTCCTACCTTTTAAATTGTTGCTACTTTAGCATCTGGTTCTTTTCTGAGTAACAACTTACTAATGACTAAGCAGTCAAAATAATTACACAGCAGATCTTTACCAAACTGGAAAATTCACTGAGAAATGTTCTAAACAGCAAAACCTTGAGAAATTCAGAGCCAAGCATGGGTGACCTAACTGCACCATATGCTTAAATAGACTTGAAAATGTATTTTAAATGATAAATTATTATACCTCCTTTGTAGATATATAACAAACAAAGGAGTATAAAAACACAACAAATGATTCCTTAGTAGTATAAACACAGAATGGTTAAAGTAAAATAAAAATTATCTCTAAGTACAATTTTCACTTTTACAAATTTGTATGAAATATGTATTCATTATATATATATATATATATATATATATATATATAAACATAAGTGTGTTTAGCAAGATACAAGCATGTATTACTTACTTTATTCTGTCTTTAAAAAATGCCTTCATGGATATTTTCTCAAACCTTAAGTGCTATTTGACAACATTGCTATAAATAGATGTACAATATTCCACAATAAGCATTCCTTAAATCACAATTATTTAAATGCCTAATATGAATGAAAGTATCATAATAATGAAAGCGTTCCCTGGCTTTGGGTGTCCGGCTGTTTCTAATTCTTTGATAATGTAAGTAGTTCTGGGAAGAAGGTGCTCCCTGGAAAGCCTCCCCAGTGTGTGTTCCTTGCAATAACTTGCACAAGTGTCCGCTGAGCAGAGCCCAGCAGAGAAAGAGGCCATGATGGGTTTCTCCTATTGTTATTTGTGTCCTTCTGGCTTGGTGTAAACAAATAAAGACTTCTCAGTACAGTAACATTTTGAGATCTCTTGGGGCCGAGAGCAGAATTCTGCTTCTTTCTTCTGAACAAGCTGCATGGTCTTGAAGAAGAGTAAAAGCTACTCCCACTTCATGGGAACCCAAAGCAGCCAGTGGTAAAACACCTCCCACGTCACACTGTGGCCGGGTGAAGCCATGCTGGTGTCTCGTGACCCGTCTCCATTCCCCGAGGCTGGAGGACACGAGCAGACTCATCAGCAGTGCCTTCCTCACTTGTGATGTTGGTGTGGAGGACACACAAGTGATCTCGGTTCTCCATCAGTTCTTTGTCACAAGGATGTACCTGTGCTACCGGGGAGTTCTCCACTGAGACTAACTCAAGCTGTTCTTTTCCCAGGTATCCGCAAACTTATCAACAACGGCTCATACATAGCTGCATTTCCCCCACATGAGGTAATTTTGAAAGACAGCTTCTATTTTTACTTTTTTAATTTATCTTGCTCAGTGCTTGATCTTGTGTTCTTCATATTTAATTATGACTGCTCACCTCCACAGGTGGCCTGGGGCCTGCAGAGGTGCTGCTAGGCATGCAGGCTGCCTCCTCAGCTCCCTGGGGCTTGTGCAGTTCCCGTATGGGGGAATCTCAGATTCAGCATTTGCAGCAGGGCTTAGCCCCCCCTACCCGCTGCCCTCTGTCCCAACACCAAGCACCACACTAGATCCTGCTGAAAACCCTCACCACTGTGAAAGGGCATGGCCCACTGTCTTGTTACTTCCTCACTGCTGGCACACAATACCCAACACCCACAATTTAGAGGAGGAAAGGTTCATTTTGGCTCAGTTTCTAAAGGTTCAGTCCATAGTCAGCAGGCTCCAAGGAAGCAGGGAGCAAAGAGCTGAGGAGGGAGAGACCCGTCCCCTCTGACCAGGCCTCCTCTCCAAAGGTCACACTGTTATAAACTCATCAGGAGGCTAATCCACTGACGCGCATCATATCCCTTGGGTCCAGTCACCTCCTCAAGCCCCACGTGGGCAGCTGAGTGCAGACATCAAGATATAAACGTGTGTGCTAGCACACGGTACAGGAAAACCACAAAACATTTGCCACCAGTCCTGAAGTTCTTTGTCTATGTGATTTCTGGCCAGATTTTGCCTTCTTACCAATTTTAAATGCAAGTGTGTCCTCTAAACTGAGCTGGGCTTACCCACCATTAATGAGATTGGAATCGGATTTTATTACTTCTCCCTTCCTCTCTCTAGTCTTGACTTCTTTCTTTAAGACAATTTCACATTTTAAAATAAGAGAACGGTCTTTAGGGGTTTCACTTTGGAACTTTCAAAAACAGACATCTGATGAGGATATCAGTAGATGGTGTAATTCCCTCACTGTGGAAACAAAGGAGGCCCATCAGGGATCATGAGATGCGGGAAGGATGGAAATTCATGAGTGCACAGGAGTAATTACTTCAGTCGTTTTTTTTTTTGTTTTTTTTTTTTTTTTTTTTTTTTTTTTTCTTAGTGCTGCACTACCTGTAGCTATAAAGCCAGAACAATGAGTTTAATTGAGATTCAGGAGCAGAGTTAGTACAGTGATGTACTAGGTATGTCAGAGCTTAATTGCAAAACTGAGGAAATAGCTATCCTGTGGCCCCTAAGGCTGCTGCATTTGTCACATTTCTGTTGCTGAGGTACACAGCCTGACATACACAGCTTAAGAGAGAAAAGGTTATTTGGGCTCACGATTTCAGAGGTTGTGGTACGTGGCTGACCACCTCCAAGGTGGAAGTGGCAGGGCAGAAGGATATGGTGGGGAAAAGCTGCTCATGTGGAGAAACCAGAGGAGTCAGAGCAAAGCCACACTGAAGACCCCCCAAGGGCGCAATCCCAGCACCCTACCACCTTCCACTCCGCAAAGCCTTCTGACAGCTCATTGAACTGTCCCGTGGGTTAGTCCAGGGATCAGCCTCGTGCCCTTCGGGGACACTGCTGCTGCCCTGAGGATCAGGTCCTCAATGGCTGAGTGGCTGCAGTAAACTTCTCAATAAATCATAACAACTGAGAAAGAAAGTAACACATTCCTGGAGAATTATCAGCAGTACTTTATAGAAAGCTGAGATTTCACTTCTTTCTTTATGTGGCAAATCTCAGGATCGTCTGCTGTAACAATTCAATCCATTTTCACAAACAACCCTTTCTCAGTGGGGCTCCTCTCTCCATGCCTGAATGCTGGATCTTTGCCCCATCTCCTTAGCCTGTGCCTTCACCCCTCCTGGACGCATCTCTCTGTCTCTCTTCACTACCTGAGGGGCCTTGAAAGGCTGATTGGAAGCATGTTCTTTCTCTGCTGGGACTCACAGCCTGGCTGTTGGGGAACATTCAACTCTAAAACTCCATCTGATGGATTTTTGAGAGAAGATATAACAAGCATTTTTAGTACTTCAAATCTGGAGTATTTTACCTGAAGTAAAATTTTAGATTTCTTAGGTTTTAAAAGATACTTAACACTGAGGGTGGAGGCCTCATCCCTTTAAATGAACAGTTGCTCTCTTCCTTAGCTCCGATAAATGAAATAAAAATTCCTGGGAGTTTATCACGTTTACAGCAGAGTAACACTTTGAGTTTCTGAACTAAAGATTGCAACAGTTTTTCCCTTCAGTGGTAAAGATAATGTGTTTATTAGAAGACCATAGATTGCAAATGGTGAAACTTGAAGTCTAGTTTATTTTAAGTGACATGGATCTCAATTGTTTGCAAACGTGATTTAAAGCAGATGTACCTGGAGAATAGAATGTTGTGTGAAGTAAGTCAGGCCCACAAGCTAAAACACTGTCTGGTATCTGTCATTTGAGCAGGATACAGTAAAACATGGGTGGAAGGAAATGGGGGGTAGGTGTCTTCCAAACGGCTGAGGTGCAGGGGAAGGAAGGAGAATTAAGATACGCCACGAGGAGGTCCCAAGTACTCAAAACGACTACAAACATAATATCATAAACACGAGCTAAGGAGAGTAATAGTAATAGCAGGACTGAAAACGGGAAAAGGAATTCAGACATGAAGCGATGGACAGTCTAAAATAAACCAGCATCCTTCCTTGCATGCACCTACTTCCCAAGACAGATGCAAACTTCACGAACTGCAAACAAACATGCACTAAAAATGTAAAAACGAAAGCTAACTAAATAAATCAAATGATATTTAAAGAATTCTCAGAGGATTGCCAGCTACCACATCATTACAGTATTGGACTTCCACATAAGATCGCTAAGGCTTCTCGTGGATTGCTAAACTATTCTGCAAAGAATTAAACTGTTCTCGTTGAGTTGGAATTTCACGAGGAGGATACGTAGCAATGCCTGGATTTTTTTCTTTGTCTGTTTCAGGGAGCCTACAAGAGTAGCCTGCCCATCCAAACCCATGGACCTCAGAATAACAGACATCTGCTCTATGAGCGCTGGGCGCGCTGGGGAATGTGGTACAAGCATCAGCCGCTGGACTTAATCAGGTTCTGCAAACGCACGGTGTCATGATTACATTTCCTTACCACTTGTGTCAGGAGAAATGTGACCAGGAGAGGGGAAACCATGGGGTCATTTTTCAACAGAAGAAACTTGACACAGGGAATTTGTTACACCCGCAAAAGGGGGAAGTAAGAAATCAAACAGAACTTTTTTAAATCAAGGGAGGATGTGCAGCAGGAGAAAATTACTAACATGCCAAGGGGTAAAGGAAAACAGGGCAAAATGTACTACCAGAGCCCAGTACCTGGGCTGAAGCTCACAAACACAGTCCTGGGGCACACAGAGTGGAGGAAAGAGTCTTGAGTTTCCTTCTTCCCTCTGTCTTTCCATCTGCTGGTACCTCTGCTCCAGTAGTACCCTAAGCAGTTTCCTAGGGAACCAGGGTAATCTGCTATTCTGTTGAAAATCAAACAGGCCCGTGAAAGGAGGGATAAACATGTCCCTTCCCCCTAGAAACCTTCCATTACCAGCATTGAGCTGATGATGAGGAAGACACGCACAATGAACTACACAGCCTCAGGTATAGAATTTTGTATAAAAGTCGGGTTTTTTTTAATAAACCAGCAGGCAGATTACCTTTAGAATGATTGAAAATTTAGTTTTTCTTAAGAGTGAGCATATTTGAGGAGACGGTACTCTTTTTGGGGTTGCTTCCTCTGTGTCCTAAGAGGAAGTGAGTGCTCACAGGTTGGGCACTTCAAATGCTTTTTGCTCCTGGGAAAAACGTACATGGCAGGCTCATTGTTCAGTCATAGATGGGGGGCAAAGGAAAGGTCCATCCTTTTCCTTCTTTGCAAAGGATTATTTCTGGACATATGTTTTATTTGTTTTTCCATTTGAGAAATTATTCAAACATTTCATAGCCAGCACCTACTGAGTTGCCATCTATTTTCTTCTGGAAAATATTTGAAATTAGAAAGAGAACATTTTATAATCATTAGCTACAGAACCTGCTTAAAAAATAGTTATGTGACATTTTTAAAATACAATTCACAGTGGGCATCAGAAGGATTTAATACTGCAAATGGAAGTGCTGAATTGAATAGCTGTCTCTGTAAGAGTAGATTTGGGCATATTTATCAGATGGCAGAAGTCAGCAACAGGGCAGGCCAGCAAATGGAGCATCACAGGGTACTGCTCTTACAGTGACACTTCAGTCCACAGACACTTTTGTTTGTGAGCAACTGAGTCCACAAACAGAAGCATTTAGCACAATTTTGCTTCCCTTGGAGAACTCTGCATCAGGTGACAAACATGACTGAGGTCACTTTCCTCGGAATCCTGGGGCTAATTAATTTTGTGAACAGAGGCACCAGTGCATAAAAAGAGGGTGGCTGAGGGGGAAGTGTGGTAGGAATTGTGGCATGGTAGTAACCCTCTCTCCCTCTCATGCCCTGTCCTGGTTTTGAAACACTCTTAAGTGGATCTTAGAGGTTGTATACAACTGTGTGTCCACACACTCTGGGTCACCGTCATCTCCATCTGTGTCTCTGCCTCTTCTGACACAGACCTGGCCTGAAATCTGCCTTAAGTTACATGCTTATGCTTCACATTGATAATATCATGGCTCCTCTCAACCTCCAATGGTGTAGTTTAAATTTTAGTACAGTACTCTCTGTAAGAGCAGAGCTTTCTCCATACCCTTCTATCATCATTGCTATAAAGAGATGACATTATGTTTGCAGTGGGCTAAAAGCCCTCTCCACACCACCTGGGAATACTTGTTTAAGGGAAAAGTGCCTTTGGTTAGTATTATAAACTTGTAGTTTAATCATTACTATAATAAGCTCCAGCTTCAAACCAGAACACTATCATTTCATGAGAAATGAAAGGTCAATGGTTGACTGGGGGTTCTTAGGAAAAATAAATCAAAGGGGAAAAAATGCGGTAAATGATGCTTAAGAGAGGTTGACTCCAAGTCCTTACATGGTAAAAGTGTATACAAAAATTTAATTGGCTGAGGTAGAGAGAGCGAGGATGGTGGCATTGTTTGACCACAGCTCTCTAACCTGTGCAGTATAGTATGGGCAGGAGGCTAGGCAGGGAAGCAGCACCCACGCGGACTTGAGGACCACCTTAATCATCTGCCCCGCGCGCTCCATCTAAGGGGCAAGGAGCCGCACCCCTCCTCTCAGCTTCACTCATCCCTCAGCTCCTCCTTCAGCAGCTGATAGAGAGGAAGAGCCTCTGAGGCTGCTGAGCACTTCCCTGGAAGTGTTAGGATCTTTGGCCACCAGAGCGTGGATGAGAGAGAAGAGCAGGGACAGAGACAGGGTTGGAGAGGGTGTCAGGGAAGAAATGATGCTCAGTGAAAGGCTGGAACAAGTTAGGAGCAGATGGAACAACTTTCTGAGCATTTCAATTTTAGGGAACCACCTTTCCAAGGAAGCTACTGGGTGACCTGGAAGCCTCAGGAGTGAGCTTCATAGAGAAGGATGAGATGTGGAGCTCTTCAAGGTGTCTGGCTGAGAGCAGGTAGAGCTAACACCTCTGCCCTCAGCTCCACGCAGTGGAGGCAGGGGGGAATCTCCAGCTTCATGGAAGCAGTGTGGTTTATCACTGCTCTATGATCTGGAGCCTGAAATGAGATGGTACTGGGAAGGTGGGGAAGGGCCACAGTTGGGTGATAAAGCTCTGTGAGCCATATTAACAGATTTGGTCCAGAAAGAAATGCGCTTTGCAAACTGTCCCCAAAAGGACAACGTGAGGTCCAGGACATCCCCGCTGTGAGACTCCCCAACCAGCAGCGATGTTGAGCTCCGCGTGGAGCTGAAGAGGGGCTGAGCTTCTGAGCTGCAGTTTCCTCCTGTGATGCCTGCTGGCTGTGGAGCCAGCGTTTGTAGGTGAGGTGTGCCTGTGGCCGGATGCTGAAGGTTTGCTCTCCTCTGCAGGCTGTACTTCGGGGAGAAGATCGGGCTGTACTTTGCATGGCTGGGCTGGTACACTGGAATGCTCATCCCTGCGGCAGTGGTTGGCTTGTGTGTGTTCTTCTACGGACTGGTAACCATGAACGAAAGCCAAGTAAGGTAAGCTATTGGGAGACTTAGCAGAAAGTGCTCAGCTTATCCTCCGAGTGCGCAAAAGCCTATGGATAATGCCGATCACAAACACAACAAAAATGTAATTATTTGCTGTTTTTTAAAAATACCAAAGACTATAAAAGGGGCATTCTTAGGCTTTTGTGTGCCACTTCTTTTAGGTAAGTTCCGAATCTACTTATCTCTGTGCCAGTACTTCTTCTTTCCAGTGTATCCCACACAATGATCTAAGAATAATAATGAAATAGTCAAACACATATCAGAATGCTGATTATTTTGTTAAAATGAAGTGATTCATGATTGAGAAATAGGGATACATGATTCGTAGAAATAATGCACAATTACGCAGCAGAGACAAGAGTCACCTAGGATTAAAGGCTCTTAGCAGCATGCTCTGTTTACAGACAAGTCACAAGCGTGTCATTAATTCAGCTTCACATGACCAAGTTCAGCACTAAAGAAGCTTCCTTCCCCTCCCTTTCAACGCTTGCCGTGTTCTTCTGGGTCGTTCTCTCTGGGCTACAACCACAAGAGCCAATGCTGTTGTTAGAGTTCTCAAGGGATGCTAAAAGTTAATTTCCATGACCTTCCTTTAAAAATGTGATATGTAGATGTAGATGTTCGTAGATGTATGATAATCTCGACCTCAAACTACATCTTCACTGTCCTTGAGTGCAGTCCTACTCAGTACCCATGCTCCTGGCTTTGTTATCTCAGAATCTCCTTGTTCTTGAGGCCAAGGTTACTCTCATTAAATCAAAACAACAGCAGCTCCAAGGCATTGTCAAGCACAAGTTGCTTTCCTAGCTTTGCAGACTCAGCTCTCACTCTGGTGGGCAGAACCTTGCTGGGCAAACTACAGCCCATTATAAGCACCAGTCCCTCCATTCCTCTTTCCTCCTGCAGGCAGCTCATTCTGCCCCTGCGCCTCAGAGGAGAGGTTAGGGTTCAGTCCTGAGGAGAGAAATACTCATGTGCAGTGAGCTAACAAATATGAAAAATGACTTCAAGAGTTACAGCTTAAGTGGGTTCCATGCAGAACAAATGAACAAAGTCAGCGTGAGATGCAGAATCCTCCCTCCACCCCTACAAACCTGGAAAAGAACAAAAGGGAGTAGATGGACGTTCCCATCAGTTTATGCACCGACAGCGTAAATGAAGCTCCCTTTGTTTGAAATAAGAATTCTTTAACCTTTAGTACAAGAAATGTTTTAAAAGGCACCAGTGAACTCTTTCCTTCTGTGCTTTATGGTATTATGTTACTGCTGTCGCTGTCACACTATAATTAAGATCCTGCCAGACTTTCTATTCTAAAGCAAGATAAGCTGCACTGAATATCTTAACTTTCAAAATCAGAGGATTGAAACTTTCCATTCAAGGTGGCAGACATGGTTGGGTCCTTTGTGTAATCTTGGTGCAGGGCAGGATGGGGCTGGGCTTTGTTTTGTGTTGGTGCACGTGAGTATGATTTTTCTAAGCTCCTTTTTTGTCTATTGCAGGGTGATAAAATGTTTAAAAGCTCCAGATGTTAGTCTATTTATCAGCTAAATTAAGGTCATATTTTTAATTGATCTGCAGTTAATGTAGGAGCACAAAACCGTCGAGTTCTAGATCACTGCATAGATGTGTACATGTTTGTGCTTATGTTTGCATTGCTTTTACACAGCCAAGCAGGTTCCATCTGTGCCAGGCAGATGACATAATACTGGATTTAAAGATGAGAAGGTAGATACTTGTGGCCTGTTTCTTAAGGTCCTAGGCTTCAGGAAAAGGTTGAAAACAAATTCTGGTTTTATGGTTCATTCTTACTTTTTGTCATCAGAACACATCAAAAAAAGTATGTGGTACTGAGCACTGCACAGCTTTACAAGAGCTGTTGTTTCCTATGAAATCTCCCCAGCCCTCTCCTGACCTTGCTGGTGACAGTGAGTCTATTCTCCTCGGTCACAGACGCCTGTGACATTCCAGGGAGATTATCAGTATCCTCCTCTGGAGACCAATAAATTCATCTTCAGAAAAATCAGTGATTTATTCAGGGCACCTATCTATTAAGAGCTCAGCTAACTTTCAAACCTATACCTAATTCCTTTTGAAAGATTATTGTGGGTTGTTTAGTAATAGACTTTTTTTTTTTTTTTGTATTGAGATTCAAACTCAGGACCTTACACTTGCCAGGCAAGTGCTGTGCCACTGAACTATCTCCCTGGCCCTAGCATTAGATTTGTACTCAGCAAAATGTTAAGTGCACAGTAGCACACAGGAACAGTGCTGTGTGAATGAGTTGGGGTGCTTACACATCTTGGGTATCTGTGGTGACACTGACAGCCTCTGTCTGTTCTCTTTTGATGTGGAGTTCTTGCTGCCTTAGACTCTTCAGCCTCATACAGATGTTCTTCTGTGACTTGTTTATCTCACTCCACATAATACACTATCACACCTCAATTCACGAATGCTTCTGCTCATGGACAGTTCCCTTTGAAAGCAAAAGCACTGGGCAGAACTTGGCTTCCCTTCACAAACTCTGCATCAGATGATGAATATGGCCACAGCAGTCTTCCCCAGAAAAGCGGAATGAATTAAGTGCATGAACAAGGCACTGCTCCTCTCCAGGTTCCACTAAGTACCCATCTATGGCATGATGTCTTAGTTAAAGCTGTTACATTTACATTTTACATATGTATTTCCCTGTTTATCAATCAATAGAAATAAGGGTTGTTTCTGTATCAGTGAAGTGTTTAGTAATCCTGCAGTGCACATGGGACTCGCATTTCCCTGATAATTATACCTGATTCTATCACTACCGCTTAGTTCATCCTGCCACACTGTTTTCCTTTAAACCTATTTTCATGTTTTATCACTCAAATGCGTGTCACCAAGCAGTCACATCCTTCTCTGTGCTTTGCCCCAGAGGAAGTGTGTCCAGTCAGTACCCAGTGGAAGCACTGTTCCTGATTTTCAGTACCTTTAATTGGCAATAATTTTTGTTTCTTTGGATCAACTCTTGGAGTATATATCTAGCAACAGAAAACAAAGAAAGTCACAATTATAGTGGCAGTTTAGGTGATCCAAGCCGGCCATAGATAAATAAATAAATATTCTCATAAAATGGAACCTCTGCCTCTCTCTAGTGGGTAAGAAAAACAAAAAAAACCAAAAACTTATGATACTCTCAAATACCTTATTCTAGGCTTTAAAAGCTCAGAAATGATTGCTTAATATTATTGATTCTATGTATCATGTTAAGCTTTGAGCAATTAACAGAACTACGGCAGTAAAAATATGATCCCTTTTTGTGGCTGAAATTCTGGTCTTTGTGCATTGATGAATCTTGGCTTTGGTCTGACCATTTGGAAGGTTGGAAATGTGATACAGGGTAAGCCAACTAAGTAGATTTTCTATGTGAGATTTATTTAGTATGAATTGTGACATTTATAAAATCTCAGTAAGTTATGCTAGGAAGCCCACATTGACTCACATTTTCTTCAGAAAATATACTAATTCTTGTTCCTGAAAATTATTGGTTTTGATGAGCACAGATGTAACCTCTGCTTTCTTTTAGGTGTGTAAAATGCATATTCTACATTTTTCATTCTTTATGTGGACATTCTGATTACCAAGGAGTCAGTGCATTTAAAAATGGAGAAGTGTAGTATATGTAAGGCTTTTTCCATCACCATCATCATCAGTAAATTGCTCATAGAAAAATTGCTTTTAAGTGTAAAATGAACTTTATTCCTCCTTTAGCTATGTTACAGGTGACAGAGGATCGAGTCTATAACCAGACGAAACCTAAACTCCACTTTCTGAAGTACCTCTTGCTAGTCCTGTGCCCTAGAGCAAGTTTCTTAAATGAACGTGTTTTCTTCCCTTACTGCAGACAGTTAACCTTACAGATTAAAAAGTAAGCGGCGGAAAGCATTGAGCATTTACTGTTCTGTGGCACCCTTGATAGTGTTTATTCTCCCTTTGACTTGCAGTTATATACACTGGATGCCTTCTTTTTGACTTTGATTGTGTAAGTTTTAAAAATAGCAAATCTTGCTATAAACATTGCCAATTAAACTTGTCTTAACAGTTGCATTTCAGGCGTATTTTCTAAATTCTTTAAATTCCTTTCAAGGTTGTTAGAGCCATTCACTTAAAGAAAACTTGAGCAAGAGATACTAAATAGGAAAGGGCTTGTTCAGCAGAAAAAGGTACAAAATATCCTAAAAGCAGATTGCTTTGAACTCTTGATCTGATGATTTAGGAATTTCTGTTGATTCCCAACTCTCTTGACAAAGCCATCTAATGTATACTGAGATTTTTAGGGCATGGCCAGCTGGCTGGGAAAGCCAATGTGACCTGATAATGAGGAAATTCTGGGACCCACCCACAGAAAGTGCTCGCTTCCGTTTTTTTCTGGTGAGAACATGAACAGGTTTCTGATAGGCTGGCCTAGATGTGACGTCAGCCAAGGAGGGCGGGAGATAGGAAAGATGGCAGCCATAGAGCCTGGATCCGCTGTGCTCTCTTCCACCATGATCCGCTCTCACCCAGCAGAGCAACCTACCTTTTATACTTTTAATGGGTCCACACACACACCATGGAGTGTGTTTCTTTTTCTGCCTTTAATAAACACAAAACCTCACTACTTTTTGTACTTATCTTAACCAATTCTGTGTTCATCACAGAAATAACTTAGAAGCCAACTCTTGCTAAAGACCCCAGCACCCCAGTGATAGCTATAGACATAGAACTGAAGAGATAAGTGTCATCAAGTTATGCTGTCATTGAGAATGATTTAATTGAATAGAAACCATCATGTTATTCTTACAGACTTTGTCAAGGAGTGAGTCTCTCTATCTCTCTCTTTCTCTTTTTCTCTGTTTCTCTCTCCCTCTCTCTACCTCTGTCTCTGTCTCTTTCTTTCTCTTTATCTGTTTCCCTCTTTCTCTCTCTCCCCCCTTTGTCTCTGTCTCTCTTTTTCTTTATCTATCTCTGTTTCTCTCTCTCTCTCTCTCTCGCTCTCTCTCTCTCACTGTCTCTCTCTCTTTTTTTTCTCTCTCTCTCTCCACTCACAACCAACCCCTTTAAATTCCCATAAACATTCTGCACCAACATCATAGACTATAACACATGGATGATGAACTGTATGTAGAGTTCAGAGTCAGAATAGTCAGGTTCGATTCCAGCTCAGCCCCTTCCAGGCCTGTGAACTCAGCTGAAACTGTGCCAGTGTAATGCACAAGACTGTTGTGAATCCCATGAGGTCATGTATAAAAGTGTCTTGATTTTTTGACATTCCCCAAGTATAACACACATGTACAATATGGACTGTTATCATTTTCTTCAGTGCCCTGACAGAGGTTTCTAAAATCAAAGAAGCAAACACCAGCCTTGGTATCACAGATAGCCCAGTCCACATGCTGGCCTGCCTGCCTCTTACCCTGTCCTAAGTCTGCCTCTTTTCCTTCTTCTCTTTGCCTGCAAGGTTAACTGGCGAGGTAAGTGATTCTGTCACTACAGAGCCTTATGATCTTTCTTCTCTGATTTCTCCAGCCAAGAGATCTGTAAAGCCACCGAAGTCTTCATGTGCCCGCTTTGTGACAAGAACTGCTCGCTACAGAGACTCAATGACAGCTGTATCTATGCCAAGGTGAGTGAGGCCCTTCAGGCTCCTCCCCGGCCTCCACTTTTCCCAAGAAGTAGGCATAAATGTCCTCTAGTAAATAGTTTTTCACCAAAATTAACCATCCTAAGAGTTTCAGCAAGCATTATAAGTGTCACTGACAATTGAAAACAGCCAGTCTGCTGCAATTATGATAGTACAATTCTCTTTGAGTACTTTTGTCTTTCTTTGTTTTTATAATTGATAATTGGTAGCAGAGACACAAACTTCCACTTAGGATCATATCTAGGCTCTTGTTAGAACAATTATTTTTAGTGTTGATAATTAAATTTGTATCTTCCACAAAGATTCATGAAGTTAAAATGCTACTAACTACACAGCAAAAATGAAAAAGCTTACCAGAAAATTAACCGTTATGCTATTAGAAACACCTAACAAGTTATTTTTAATTCCTGAAGCCCAGATCACATGCCAGGATAATTGAATCAGACTATGTAAGTAAAGAACCCAGATCTGAGTTCTACAAGTTTAAGAAATACTAATTAGTGTGATCATTATCTTTTAATGATCATTATCATTATCTTTTATTACCAAAGTTTTCATATAGTTAATGGCACATATTTGAAGCCACAATTTGATATTTTGTTAAATGCACATGCCTGTGAAATCATGATCAACATCAACATAATGAACTTATCTGTCACCTCCAAAAACCTGTAATGGTGCCTCCCAACCTTCCCTGAGCCCCCTGTACTCAAGTGGCTGACTGCTTTGTGTCATTACAGACAAGTTTGCATTTTCTAGACTCTTATGCACATGGAATTCTACAGTAACCATGTTTTGCACTGCATAGTTATTTTGAAATTCACTCTCACTTTGTAGCAGTTATCGCAGATCATGACTCTTCACTGTGAGCATCACTGTTACATCTGTATCGGAGTTCATTAGTGTTCCAAACTGTTGCCTATTTTACATAAAGCTCTCAGGCAGGTTTATATGCAAGCCTTCTTAGAGACAAACGCTATTACACCTGTTGGGTAAGTCGCTAGAAGTAGAATAGGTGGAATGCATGCTAAATAAGTTGTTAGCATTTATATCAGTGCATTTTCTACTACAGTCATGAACTAATATTTTATCAATTGTTATAAACTGTATCTGAGGCTGATAGGAGAGGCGTTCTCTGGCTTAAGGTTCTGGGGTGCAAAAGTCAGGTGTCTTGGCTGCTGATGGCCTGGAGAAATCCCAAAAAAGTGTTGAGAACCACATGCTGAGAGAAAAGGAGGTGGGTGGTGCGTGTGCATCTGTGTGCTCACGCCCCTCTTCTTATAAATTCACCATGATTCACTCAAAACGTTTCCACTTCAGTGACCTAGTATAACCCTCATCACTTCCAAAGTGCCCCACATTCTAGCGGGAATAAGTGTCCACCTTCTTTTTTTTTTTTTTTTTTTTTGTCTTTTTCAGTTTTTATCGGTACTAGGGATCGAACTCACGACCGCCTGCTTGCAAGGCAGGTGTTCATGCTGCTGAGCTAAATCCCCAGCCCCAAGTGTCCACCTTCTGAATACTTCAAAGTGAAGATTCATTTTTAACACGTTAAGGCCAGTGAGAGACTCAAACCACATGCAAACCATAGAAATGTGTTTTCAGTATGCCAGCGAAAACTCTGTGATGGTGTGGGTGCCAATGTGCTCGCCTGCAGCCAGCGTATGAGATTCCCCATGTCCATGCAGTCTCCGAGTTCAGTATGCTTAGTCATTTTTAACTATAGTGTGATGAGAGATATCTCACAGTGTTTTAGTAACCGGAGCAGAATTCGATTTGCAGGAAGGAGGTCCCTACTTTAAAATATTTGAGTTGGACCCCAGCTGTGCAATCTAGAGCTCACTATGCCCCGCAGCAGGATCAGGCTCTTACTGTGTGCTCGACTCCGTGCACTGTGAGTGCCAGGATTCCCCCCGGGCCAGGGGGAATAGGTCCTGTTCCACCTCTGCTCCTTCCAGCTGGCTCTGCCCTGGGCCGTGAAAAGCTTCCTGCCATGCTGGAGCCCTGGGAATGGGCTGGAGGCTCCCTCTTGGCACCTTTGGGGCCCCTTTAGAATGGTAAACTAAGGCAATACCAATGCTCGCCTGATTTTTTTCCCACCTCTCCTGGATGACTGAGTTTTATTGATTGTCCAATCTCTTCAAATCTATTGGTTTACATATTTTGTGTATTTTGGTTGATTTAATTTCAAGATAAAAATGCTTCATTTTTTTTCCCTACTTGATCAAGTAAAGGTCTCCATATAATTAATTGTGACAAAACTGAACATCAAATCAGTACATATTCTACTACTGTTCTCCACAACCAAAGCTGAGTAAAGTTAGCTTCTAAATTATTTATCTTGTGCAAGTAGCATGGGAAAACACTGTTTTATTATTAATATTTTCATTTTCACTATGTGCTCAGTTTTTAAATCTTTTAAAAATTCCACAAAGATTACGAGGATTTAAAAACAAGGATATCTAATATGGGAGCAGTGTTTCCTCATCACAGATGTATGTGTTGTTTCTTTGGTTGGTTAGTTGGTTTTTGCTTTGAGATAGGCTCTCACTATGTAGTTCAGGCTGGACATGAACTCAAGGCAATCCTCCTGCCTCAGCTTCCTGAGGCTGGGATTATAGTTGTACACCACTGCTTCCTGCTCTCATCACTTTTCACCAAAGCCTAGGAGTTATAGTTACTAGGTAGATAAATACATGTTCCCTTCCTAGCTAAAGCCTTTCCAAACACATAACAGCCTCAGATAAACCTAAAAGTCCAGATGTTTATTGTTTTGTTTTTCCTGTACAAATCTAATGAAAAGTATTAACATTATATGAACAGTAAAGGCAAGAGGAACCCACATGTGCAGAGTGACAGTGTGAAGAATCTTCACAAGGAAATGGAAATAAGAGTCTTGTCACCCTGCAGTAAAGTCCGCATCCCTTTCTGGGCAGATATAACTCAGAAAGAATTCGCTTATACACTCTTACAGGGAAAGAGGAAAGAGAGCTTGCAGATATTTGCACCAAGAGAAGATATAAAATCTACTTCGTGCAAATATTTACAATGTCATATTTGTTTTTCTGGCTGAGAAATATAAAGGCTGATTCTCTAAAGAAATCAACCGTAATCACTCTTTTCACTGGATGGAAATGAACACTTTCTTCTTATAAGACATTATAATACCTCAGTTACTAGATGGGAAGATTCAAAAATAAGGAAGGAGATGTTTGCCAAAGAAACAAGCCAAACAGTAGAGGTTTATCTTGCCACATGACCACCTGATGTTTCGGTTAAATTCTCTCATTGCTGAGACTAAACACTCAACACCCAAATTTAAGGAAGAAGAGGTTTATTTCGCTTACAGTTTGTGGAGGTTTCAGTCCATAATCGTCTGGCTCTAGGGCAGGGTGGCTTGACACAGGGGCAGCAGCGCAAGATGCCAGAAGACAGCAAAAGCAGCAAGAGTGAAAGAGGGAGAGAGCAAGCCTCTTCCTCTCCCTTACACTGTAAGCATACTCTGACTCACAGGCCTCCCTGCCCTCCTCTTGCACAGGCTGAGGATGTTTACAGAGTGAGGACCCTGGCTCCCTGCTGAGTTGCTTACACTGCTAAACTTCTCAAATTGACACAATGGAGCAACCATAACACCATTGTCCAATAACTGTCCCTGCAGTTTCTCACAGAATCCGTTACTACTTTGACAAAATCAAATCTGACATGACTTATTTAAAAGTACATATGTGACCACACCCTTACAACTCAAGGATACATTTTCTTGGAAAAAAGAGTTGATCTTGTTGTATGATACTAATATTTAATTACATTGACATCTCCTTTCATGACTATTTTTATTTTTAAAACTTGAAAGCTTAGGAGTTAGAAAGCTTTGGGATTTAGTGATGTTTATAAACTCCTGGACACTGTACAGCTGAGTCCTGTGATGCTAGATTTTCCTATTAAGTGAAATAATTTTCCAGAAGTTACTAAATCTTTTTAAGACATACATATAACTCCAAAAAATGACCCCTTTTTAATTGGCCTTATTCATAATAATTATTGTTTAGATTTTTTAAAATTTTTGCTTGTTTAACAAATATTTATTGAATCTCCGGTATGACATTCAGACCTCATGCTGATGTTTTGGCTGGAGCAGGCATAGGAGGGAAACATGTTTTTTCTTAACGAAAACCAAGGAGTCTGTGTGTAGTCTGTATATATCACAGTCCCAGGCATCATTTATGAAAAAGCAGATTCCTGGGCTGTACATCTTGAAACTCAGAGTTAGTTCATTTGGGGTAGTCCTGCAATCCACGGGCCGGCAAACTCCTTAGGGGGTCTGACTCCCAGGAGCACGGGTCTGAGAGAGTGGAAGGAGAAGATTAGGGGCATTTCCATCTGCCCAGATGCAGTGAATACAGATGGTTGTGCAAGGTCTGGGCTGCCAAAAAGTTAAGGATTGAGGAAGAAGTCAGAGATAAAGGGATGGAAGAAGGGGGAGAAAGAGACAGAGACAGAGACAGAGACAGAGACAGAGACAGAGAGAGATTCCAGTCATGCAGGGTTGAATCTTCCCGTGATCTTCTTGCCCTCCCTAGTGGACAGAGGCCTTAATGAGGTGGACGCAGCAATTTCCACAGCCTTGTGTTGCTCTGAACTTAGCCAAGCAGTTTTACAGGAGGATCCAGTGGTCACAGCAGGGAAGACCCAGACTTTAGGCTTCCACCGGCAGGAGAAATGCATGTCCTGCAGCAGTGCCTGAGTGCTAGGGAGTCACAGGTCACTGGATAGCCCAGAATCCAGAGTCCAGGGCTGGTGATGTGGTCTCGCTCAGCTCGCTCCCTTCGCCATCAATTTCCCCATTTGCAACACAGCACTAAAGAAATCGCTCATTCCTCTGCCCCTTTACACAGAACGGCCAGCTATTTTTTCTAACAGAGTAATTCATCAAAAATGTGTGTTTTTAGATTGGACTAGCTTCTTCTTGCTTTGAGAAAAATCTGGCATGATAGCTGGGGAATTTTTTTTTCAATGTTTTAACAATGTTTTCCTCAACATTGCACATGTTCTTATGCTGTGAACATACGGAAGGACAACTCTCCCGTACTCCCCACCCTCCAGCTCTCCTCTCTCCCCATTTCCCTTTGGCATGCGTTTCTCATGTCATCACCTTCCACAGAGCCTGCTGGAGCTCACCCCGGAATCATGGGTTTCTAACTTGCCTGCTCTCTCTGCCAGCAGTCCCTATTCTCATAATACCCAGAATCCCATGCATAGCAGACCAGCCGTCCCAACACAGAATTACTGGGCATCTCCTCAAGGCAAATTCCGAAGCTGCCTTAGCCTCCCTTCTGGTTTCATCTTCTCTTCTGTGTCTGTCATCTCCTGTTACATGAAGATCACACAGATACTCTCTGTATCACATGGACATGTGTTAAAAGCATAAGGTCTAAACCGATGGAGTTAAATGTTGGAAAAATTTGAAAATGAACCTAGCCAAGAAAAAAAAATGGAAATTGTTTTAAAGGAATAAAATACTGCATAAAACACATCAAACCGTGGTGTTTTATTCACCACTTTTCTGCACGGAAGGCTATTTCTGAAGCAGGCAAGAACCGTCATTCTCAGTGACCTTTAAGCTTGCGTGTGTGGAGTCCTTGTTCCAGCACCCTCCAAGGGTCCCCACATGAGCCCTTGCTTCTAAGAGAACCACACAGCTGTTCAGCTGCTCCAAAGCTGTGAGCATCTCTGCAGGATGCCCCTGGAAACAAGGCCTGGGTTCCCCCACAGCGTGTGATTTTTTGAATCCTATAGGAGAATTTCTGCACAGTTCTTTTCTCTCCTGTGCATAATGCATGATAATGATTGATCTGAAAACCACCGCTTCTGAGAATTTTAGAAGCCTACACAGTCAGAGAGTTAGAGCCACATGGAATGTTTTATACCTGTTAAAAGCCTCTCAAAGGAGCAGACCTTTTTTATGCTGGTATTTTTATACATGCTACAATGCAGAAAAATATATCCTACATTTCTTGTCTTGCCCATTGTTTTGTGGTGTGTCCTAGAACCTGACAATTAAAAAACTCCTAATATTGTTTAAATGCCTTCTTTGAGCACACTTCAGACCCTGCACAGAGGACTCCATTCTACTCCAATTTCCCATATAATAATGCTTTGCAGTCCAAAATCCACCTCACCTGCCTTTGAAGATGCTACCCCATTTACTCTACAGAGTACCCCCCAAACTCTCAACTTACATGGAATAATATTTTCCATATTTCCCTTTCCTGTAATCAACTGTGCTCTCAAATGGAAATTTCCAGAAGTAAACAATTCATAAATTCTAAATTTTATGCCATATTGAATAATATATTGAAGGCTCGTGCAGTACCACTCTGTGCAGCCAAGAACGTGACCATCCTTGGCCCCGTGTATCCATGTGTTATATGCTACCTGCCCATTTGTCACACAGTAGTCATCTCAGTTATCAGATCTCGGTAGCTCTATCACCATCCTTGTGTTTAAACTGGGACCTACTAGGATTGGTTGTGAGCCAATCCTACTCACAAGGCCCACGGCACATATTTCATTTCTTGTGGTCAGGTAGACTCGGTATCATTGCATCTTATCACAAGAAGGGTGAGTATAACACCATAAGATGTACTGAGGTTTGTACCACATCATACAGTTGTTCTACTTTATTACTGTTCTACTTGATTTTTACAACTGTTCTACTTTATTATTAACTTTGTTGTTAATCTCATGTGTCTATCTCACATATTCAGCTTCTTCATAGCTATTGTGTGTAGGAAAAAGACACATTGTGTTCTCTGCAGTTGCTGGTGTTCACGGTGGTCTTGGAGTGCATCTGTCTGGGGTGAGGGGACAACTGTAGTTTCCATACTGTTTGGGTGCATGCCAAACATTTCTGTTCTTGGCTGCATTGGTTTAATTTCACTCTCTAATTTGCAAGTACGGTAATAGCATTCTGAAAATAAAACCAACAGAGGTAATTTCAATTCTGTTATGTCTGAACTTTATTAAAATTAAACAATCCTTGCAACTCTGAAAATGCATCACTACATTGTTCTTTATGCAGCTTTGGGTAATATCTGATTTAAAACATGTTGACAGTAACATATATGTCCAATGATTTTTGAAACTTCTGAAAACAATTTAAGATGAGAATCTTTATATTTTACAAGCCACTATTAGATGCATGGAACTTGCTGAGAAATATTAAGAGAAGGGTCACAGCCTTCTCATTGGAAGTGCTGGCTTGCAAGTCAATTCTGCAATTTAAAAATTCCCCATTCACAAATGTTTTGCTGAGAGGAGAAGCCATTAGCATACCTTACTTGAAAAGCCAACTTCTTACATCCCATATTGTGGTTTATATTACTGTGACCCACAAGTATGTCCTCAGACTGCTAGATAAACTGCTAGGCAAAAGTGAAAGTGGGAGAAAAGGAGAATCAGGGAAGAGAAGTTAAGTAAAAGTTGTTTCATCATTTCTCCCCACGAGAAAATCACAGAAAGTAGATGCAGGATCTTATAAACCTTAAAGTATTGTGATTTCATGGGGCAGAAGCCATGGTGCCTAAATTCAAAAGCTATCACTGGATTGTTACAGTCAGTAAAATGATTGATTTTGTTTGTTGTTTTCCATTAAGGTGACGTACTTGTTTGACAATGGAGGGACAGTCTTCTTTGCTATTTTTATGGCAATATGGGGTAAGTACGTTCTCTCATTGTATTCTAGCTCTCATCTTCTAAGGCCGTTGCTGTGTTTCTACACATGCGCACACACACATGCATGCATGCACGCACACACACGCATGCACACAGGCACAGACGCACACACACGCACATGCATCATGAGGCAGCTCAGCAGTATTGGTTTTTACTTTCTCTGGTTTCAGCTTTTAAAGGCTGGCCCTGGCTTTGTTTGCCTCTGCATCCCTTTGCTGCTTCTTTGGGGATTTAATCTTTGTCTAGCCTTCTAACCATACAGCCTCGATCTCTCTGCCCTTTGAAGTGCTTTTCCTTGCTGACAAAATCGTGTGACAAACTGAAACAGCCAAATCCATATTAAGCTCTTTATATTATTACTTATGAAAATAATGATGGAAGGTTTTTCGTTGTTTAATGTTTGCACTCTTTTGTCTCCTTATGCTTCATGTATTTAAAGATGCAGGATCTATTCTGTGTATGATTGAACAGTAATGTCTCATATGGAATAAATCCTGTTCCGAACAACTTACAACTGTGCAGGTTACATTCTGAGTGTATTCTCTGGCTGATTTTCAGTGTGTTTCTCAATGAATTTTAAAGGATTCAGTTAACTGAAATTTAAACATATTTAGCCAAGTTGGAGTTCTTCAGCTTGGAGACTTCTGAGGAAGGCGTCACTTTCCTGGTGAGGGTCAGGGCTTCTGGCATGGATCTATTGAACGCAGTCATTGTCAGAGTGACCATGTGTGTACTGAGAACAGAGAAACAAAATGTAATGCAATGCACACAGCTCTCAGTCCTATGGCCTAGTTTCCCAGGAACAAAAACTTTGAGCCATATGTTCCTTCTAGCTTTAAATGAAATTTTATTTTTTGAAGATCACTCTCACAATTTCCCCCAATATTTCTAATCTTAATTTATGGCCAAAAGAGTGCAGATGGAACAAGGTAGGGTCTACTGCATGAATTTTTTGCTCAAAACAGGTATAATGGAGCGTAGTTAGGAATTTCTGTAATGCCAGCACTTGGGAGGCTGAGGCAGTAGGACTGTTGTGAAATCAAGGCCAGCTTGGGTTACACAAGCGAGTTCAAAGCCAGTGTACACTACATGGCGAGACCCTGTCTCAAAAAAAAAAAAAAAAAAAAAAAAAAAAAAGTGAAAATGCAGTTTAGGTTCACTGTTTTCGTTGCAAGATTTTTATGATTAAATTATCAGTCATTGCTGTCATGTTGATGCCTTTTATCTCATTCTTCAAATATTCCCTGCTGAGAGAAAAGCAGGACAGAGTGTGAACTGCATCTTTGGAGCAAGGCTTCAGCCTGGCTAAGTATCCAGCACAGGGAAGCTTTAGAAGGTCATTTCCCGGCCGTGTTTCTGCTACACGTGTGAGGCTCTCGGGGGTCTTTTCGCACAATCCATGTGACCATGACCTTGCACAGTGTCTTGGGAGGTGAGAGAGTGGCATGTTACCAGGACAGATGGTCACTTACTTACCGTGGGAAGCCTCTGCAGGGCTGCTTTACACTGCAGTGCGGAGGGGAGGAATGTCGTCCATGGGGATGCCATCCCGTGTGCTTTCTGGGCCTTCTGACATCGAACAGTCATTCACAGATGGGTTATAGAAACTAGGGCCCCCAAAACCCCCATCATACGGTTCTGGTGTGTTGTCTAATCGCAGAACTAAAGAGTGACATAAAATAAACAGGATTGTTTCATAGTGATAATCTGAAAAATGCACACTTGGATGCCTGCTTATATAACCAGATTATAGGATTGTCAGAGATGAGGACATAGGGAAAACCTTTCTGAGGGCTTTTCGGATCTTATGTTAGAAATGTCGAATTAGATAGTTTCAAGCTAAATTTACTTCTATGACCGAGGGACAGTGTTACTTCCTAGATTTGATAGCTGGAAGATGCAAAATAAAGGGACTAGAGATCATTCCATACATTTACCAATCCTTTGTATCAAAATGTACCAATATTTCTCTTCTTGATCTTTTAATCTTGTGGTTTCCAGAAACTTGTTAACATGTTCTGAATTTTCTACTTCCAGTATAAAAATTATTATTTGAAAGCCAAGGACATTAAAACCTATGGTCATTATTTTGCCAGTTATCTTAAATCCTGATTGTGAAGCTGTTTTAGAGAGAGAAGGAAGAATATCTATGTTCTTCTGATAGATTCAAGTTAAATGCTGATAGTTATATGTATATTATATGCTGATAGGGTCAAGTTATATGCAAGTTTTATTCATATTTTCTCAATGTTTTAAATTTGTTAACAACTAAGTAATTATTTTCTTAATTAGCATGAATTCATGTTCAAAGGAACTCTGTCCTTGCCCTAGATACCTTAGATTATCACACACAGTCACTAATAATCCAGTTAGAGTAGTAATCTAACTTCAACGAGACTTTCTCTATCCACGGCATTCAATGTGGACAGTTACGTAGTTGTTATTGGTGGGAATATTCCTGATGCAAAGAAGAAAACATTTTTCCCTAACCTATAAAAGAAGTATTTTACCACAAATCAAACCTCTAGATTTTTTTTTTCTGGTACCAAGGATCAAACTCACAACTTCATGCTTCTCTAGCTTTATTGTTAACATACACATTTATCACATATAGATATTCTAGGTGGTCTTTTCTACCATACGAGAGGAAGTCTTCTGAATTCAGATACACTATCATTTCATTTGTACAAATGCGCCTCTTTTAGCTCCTGGGTAGATTAAGAGGCTGACTAAGGCTATGCAAGGAGGGAGGTGGTGTGTGCACACTCTCACTGGCCTCTACCTTAAATACTCATTGCTCATATTACTGCTGCAAGGAATATTGCCATGGCAAAGAATGCTGGCATTGCAGTTTGAAACTAACTTGGGTGCAACTAGTAACACTTATGAGTACAGTAGTTTTAAATGTTCACTCACAGCTCCTAGTTACCTTAGTAAGCCTGTAGAATTTTTTGTTTTTTGGGTTTTGTTTTGTTTTGTTTTGGTTAATACGAATTCTTGAATCCCATCTTAGCACCCGATTCTCTGTTAATTAAAGTCGCACTGTCTAGTGAGGGTCTGAAATAGTCCTTACCTGGTTCATTTCTGTCATCATAAAGGCGTCGATGGGAAAATGAATCTGTCTTCCTCTTTCCACACAGCAAGTAGCCGATGAGACTGAGCAAGGAAACACCCAGAATAGTCCCTAAAATGGCCCCGAACACCACTCCAGTATTTCTGTTCTCTGGAAGACACGTACAGTTACAGTTAGGACACAGAAAATAACTGTTAAAGAACACAGTGGAGTACGTGTAGTTAGGTACCAAAGGTGGTTCAGGTAACAGCAGCAGTGGATTTGGGTGTATGTGACACCCGCACACACATGGCACACATGGCTGCTTGTCGTTTCACTGAAATGCATCTCAGTCCTGGCTTTATAACTGCTAACTGTTCCAGCACCAGCTCCGAAAGGCCAGTGGTATTCACTGTTCACATCTACTTCCAGCATTGGTTGCTCTACTCCATGTTTTCCATAAACCCTAAATGGCTGATAGAACATAACATGGATAAAATGAACTTTGAGTTTGCTTCAAGATTAAAAAGTTTAATTCAAGATTTAAAGGCTAGTAAGGGCAATAAAAAATAAATCTACAGACTTTCCAGTAAAAACCACTGCATGCAAAGAGCAATATGTGTGATATAGGATACTTCTAAATACTGAAACGAGACAAAGCAGAGGCCTGAGGTAAGGTGCCCACACTCCCCTGCATACCGAGATGGGAGCCTTGGGGGCTCAGATGTTACTTTGTTTCTTACTGAGTCCCTATCAAAAGGCTACCTGATGCTCTTTGAACTCATATTCAGATAAATAGGATTCTTTGGGGGTCTCTGAGTCTGTATGAAACCCAAAGAAAGTCAATCATGTTGGCATAGATGAAATTGTTAACCATGAAAGAAAAGCAAACTTAACAACTTTTTTGGATAAAAAGTGGTGATGAGAGTAAACAATATTCTATTTATCTGTCTAAATATTTCAATTGGTTGTACAAGTGAGAGAAGACAACTTTTAAAATTCTTTTTAGTGGAATAGCACAGTATATACAATGACAGGATTGTAAAAATTATAACTAAAAAAAAGTATGGAATATGTTGGTTTTAGCACTATGAGAAATTAAACCATTCCCTATATGCAAAGAGTAACATTCAAGAAGTAATTAGTGTTTCTGATTGAGTTTTTACTAATTTAATGTATTTGCTAGATGTATGCTTTGGAGGGCAGTAAATTCCTGAAAAAAAAAAAGAAGATGGTCATTTAAAAAAAAAAAACATTTCAAGTATACAAAACTTACAAAATAGCTACAAATAGTTTACAAAATAAAGCATAAGGAATGAATTACTAAACTTGAATATCTTTCTCATTTTAGGGTTCAAAGTTTGACATAGACCTCAAGTGAAACATTTCAGTGTCTACATAATAAATTTATGATACAGTTAAATTCCACTTAATTGATTTTCGCTAGGTTTTAAACTAAAAGTTAAGGAGGGTTTTCCTCAAGAATGCCCAAATATCTTTTTAATAGCAGTATTCTATTATTGTTTTGTGGTGTCAGATAATTTATAAATTCATTCGTTTAGTGTTTGAAAATTCCTATATGTAATTTTAAAGTTCATCTTCGTAGTAGTTCTATAAACATAAGAAATTCTAGATTGCCTAAGATTCAGCAAAAATCGTTGCCTAATGATTCCAGTTCTGTACAGGGACCCGGTTCCCATCTTTATGATTTTTCCCTCTCATTTTTTCCCAGAGTCACTTCACAATCTATGATAATGCTTAGCATATGCCCAATTAAGCCTTGAAAGTACTTCATTATTTCCAGTAAATTTAATGACTCCTTTCCAAACCAGTAAGAATCACCTATCCTCCTGCCTCCTCATTATTTTTCTAGAATGACACAATCCTTAGATTTAATCTCTCACTTTCTTGGAGATTCAATTCCAGGTAAAAGGCAAGTTAAATTCATTCATATGTACCTTTCTGGGGCCCAGAGGTACTTGGAAAGACTTTTGAATTATTGGTGAATCTTAAGGTGGGTTGTAGAGTTACAGTAACATCAGGGAAGGTGTCGCCGTCTGCGGTGAGCCACCCAGTTGGCTCTATTGTCATGGGGGTCGCAGGTTGGTTAGCGGCGGGCACCGGCGGGAGGACACTGATGCCAGCCGAGCTGTTGTCAGGAATGTACACTGTGTGGTTGTCCAGAGACCAGCTGAGGTTATCCAGTGATGCCGTCCAGGTAGAATTGGGGTGTGCTGAGACTGGCAAAAGATTTTTCTCCGCTAGGGATGAGTTCAGAGGCAATTTGGAGACAAAGCCGTGAAACAAAGGAGGGCTTGTGGAAAACGCGGCTGTGGGTCTTACAGCCGCAGTAAAGGCACCTCTTGTCAGATTCCTGGAGGAAGCTGCTGTGTCAGATGCAGTCGCCCTGGGGATGGAGACAGTTCTGTTTCCATGGTCTGGGTTTGCCTTTGCTTCTGTTCCCAAAACAAGTGTCTGTGCCTTTGTCTTTCGAATTCCTGCAGTGCTTTGTGTTGTGTTTTTTTCTAGATTTTCTGTCTCATGGCTCTCAAAGGGCAGTGAAATAAACAGAGTTGAAGTCAGCACAATCTGGGCTAAAGTCAACATTGTAGCCTTCCTCGCTATTGACTCTATTAAGAGGAATCTGAAAGAAATAATCGTTCAAATTATTAAGCCAAGTATTCTGAGTTTTCTATGTATCTACATTTTTAAAGAGAGAAAAATTTACAGACAATGTAGAGATGAAAGCCTCGAAGTCCTTTTTTAAGTTTTATTTTAAAGAAGATAAAACCAAGGAAAATGAAACAATAAAATCAATCAAAACAAACCAGTGTAAGTGATGTAGGACTTCAAAATAATAGGAAATCAACAATAGTTACCATAATGCCTCGTGTTGCCTTCAAAAGAGCTACAGATACCTTCAGACATAGTAAAAATCAAACAGAACAGAACCAATAGAAACAAAACAATGAATGCAATAAAGGACTTCAAAACAAAACTATAGTAAATCCAAAATGGCTACATGTCTTACTATCTTTGAAATAGCTGCTCATGCCATCAGATATAACAAAATCAAATAAAACAAAACAGAATAAAACCCAGCCCAACAGAATAATGAAAATAATACAGGACTTCAAAACAAGATAATAAGGAATTTAACATTGGCCACCACCTTCAGAAGGAGGTCCCCAATAGATGCCACACTGCATACTGTTATCTACTGAATAGATTAATTCTTTATTCTAAAAATAGTTGCATTTTGGAAGAATTAAGTACTTAAATTGGTGCCTGTATAATAATCTATGTAACATTTCTTTCTATTTTCTATATAACATTTTTTTTTCCTTCTAGGGAAATATGATAGAAATCTGTGTTAAGCCAAACATTACTATTTCAAAAATCATTTACATAAATTTTAAAAACATTGTAAATATAGGATATGTAGATATTCCTGTTTTCTTTAACACATTCAAGAGTGTGTGTTCTTTATTAAATTATTTTTAGTGTTAATTCTGAAAATGACATTACTGATCATACTTGTATAAATCTGTCCGTGTGGAACTCATTTTATTAGTATCTATTTTTTGAGTTATTCAGATTTAGAAGTAATATCTTTTTTAATAATTACTTTTTAACTTCACAAAGCCCTCCTATTTAACCCCAATTGGGAAGAATTAGGAAGATTTTTAGACTCTAGGATATTAATTATGCTTACACTTTTATTTGATAAATAAAGAACCTCAGTGTATGTGAACAACTCACAAAGTTAGAACTGGGTATAAAATCACAGTTCTGAACTGTAATCTGAGCTCATCATTTTTTTTTAATTTTAAAAACAAAACAAAAGAAATGATACAGAATTTCAAAAACTAGTAGGAAATTAACACTAGTTAATCTATATGGCATATCATTACCTTAGAAGTAGTTGTTCAGGTTACAAGATTTAGGCATGACAAAGATGATCAAACAAACAAACAATGAAAGCACAAACTGTTCTTTCTGATGAACTAACAGAGATTACTAGTGTAGTCATCTATCTTGTGTGCATAAACATACCCACATATATGTGCACCTGTATACAGGCAATCTTTTCCCTTCTTCCTTCTCTCCTTTCCCCATCCCAGCTGTTGTTTCCTTTTGAGCACTTTCTTTCCCGTTCATTATCATAATATCAATTGTGCATTTTGGATCTTATTACTCTTTCAGGTTTTCTTTTTACGCTAGGGAAACAATATGATATTTACAAATATGATTTTGATTTATTTCACTTATGACTGTGGTCTCCAGTTGCCTCCATTTATGTACAAGAGCCTCACGTTCATCCTTCTTTATAGCTGAGCAATACTCCATTCATTGCATAAAATACCACATCTTTTTTATGCATTCACGCCCATCATTTTGCCTCCATGTGAAAGTGCCATGATATGCAGAGACAACTTTTAGGGTCAAATTCTGGCTTTTAGAGTACAATTCTGGCTTCTGTCATTAGAGACCTGTTACAGTGATCACTGTGATGAACCGCTGCTTCGTCATCATGACAGCAGCCACACTGACTAGTTCTGAGAACCGAGGAAGAGGGCCAGGAGGAAGTGCTCTGATGAGCTCTGGCCAAGAGGAAGCTCTGCAGCATGCTTGTGTCTCCCTTGGCTACCAGCTCACTTGGTGCCTAGACCCCCTGGCTGCCTGTCCTCCTGGTACAAGAAGTGTAGTTTGTATGGTGCATGTTTTGCACGTGGGCCCCAGCCCCGAGGGTCAGAGCACCATGAGTGAAATTTATGAGCAGCATCTCTCAATGCCTGTTCTGCTTTGTGCAAAAATTGAAGGTACTTTTAACCAAAAATTTATTTAAAAAATTAATTTAGACCATTTCCCTAGAAAACAAAAATTTTAAAGTTAGACTGTTCCTCTTCAAACCATAAAGGGTGAGAACTGCTTGGATCATCTGTGAATGGGGTCTTATTTCACACTAGAACCTTTCAAACCAGTGGACCCAAGAAGCAGAAGGTGATACGACTGCTACTCTTTAGGTCCCAGATGGCTTGCTGTTTGTCAGAGCCACCGGGAAATCTTCCTGTCTCTTTTTAGTCTGCCTGGCTTTCCAGTAGGGCCTCAGCAGCCTCTGGAGAGTCTGACTGTCCTTCAGTGCTCAGCACTACTCCACCCTTAATACATCGTCATATAATAGTTTCTTGGAAAGCTTTTAGGAAGCAGCCCATACCTTTGAATTGCAAAGGCTTTGGCAATATAAAATATATTCCACACTCCATTCTGATCATGGAAGTGATGTCTCCTTGCAAGGCAAGTAGGTAGACATACAACCCTATTCATAGCACCATTATTTATGAATCTCCATCCTGTATGTCCACAAAATAACAGATTGGGTAAAATTAAGAAGTTAGAGCTTGTCCGGGCCACATGTTAAAGCTAGTGTGTGTCATCTTTCCTAGGCCTGCTTGGGAGACTGAGATCTGAGGAGACCCATGTCAGCAGGTGGTCAAGCCTTTCCTGTACATACTACTTAGTATGCATTTACTACCTGCATACCCTTACGTGTACCTTACATCATCTCCAAGCTTCTTGTGATACTTGATGCAAGGCAATACACTGATATTCTGTATTATTCAGGGAATTATGAGTCTCTGTTTGTTCAGTACAGTTATAATTTTTCCTGACTATTTTAAATCTGTATTTGGATGAGTCCATGAATACAGATTCCACGGGGACAGAGGCCTACTGCACTCAGTTTTGTAACAGAAGTTGCAAAGCAGTATGGAATTCAGAGCTCAGAGGCTTTTCAGAACTCCCTCCACCACCACCATTTTTTAAAGCATGGCCTCGCCAGATTTCACCACATCAAATAGTAGGTTATAACCATTTTTCAGAACCCTGGTGATGTAGGGTTTTTTATCTTAAGTATCTCACACATAAACAAAATACCCGCTAGCCCCACACTGGGAAATCCCAGCTGTTTCGGTGGTTTCTCGGTGGCCACAGTCACCATGCCATTTATATATATAGTCACCCATGCCTGTCCTCGGGACCTGGGATCATTTAGGCTGATGCCCCACCTCATGCACCGCACGGACTGGACCGTGCAGCTCACTGTGGCTTAGGGGTGGGGATGTGTGATTTTTCAGAGGCTTCCTTCTCCTCTCAACTCCAGGGCTCTTCACAAGCATGATCATCTTTTGTTTTGTCTCCTGCCAGGGCTCTGCTTCTGAGTTATATTCAGCCACTCTTTTTCTGTGATTCTGGGGCAGTTGGATTTGATTTCTCTTAAATTGGGCATTTGCTTATTTTCTTTTCCGAAACAGTAATATTGATAAAAGAAAATAATAGTCCTTCTAGGTTTCTCTCCACAGTGTCACATAAGGAAGGAGGCATTACTTTGCCACAGCCCTTGGGTAACAAGAATCCACATACCCAGAGGCAACAAAGTGAATTCTCTGATTCCTGCTTGACCTTTCTGCAACACTGAACACACAGGGGATCTCATTCCTCTCCCTCGCTGTTTGTCATGTGAAAACCTAGGGTACCTATTCCTCCAAGGTGCCCAGCATTCTGACTGCCTGTAAGCTACCTCCTGAGAAAAGCAGAGGAAGCCAGGCAAGGGAGAAGACAGAGCACATTGATTCAGAAATTAGTGCAGCTGTAGATAGGGCATGGGTGAGAGCCGGTTTATTCCGGTTGTCCTGATTTACACCCCTTTCTCAGGCACCTTTCCTCTTACTGGGTAGGAGCAGCCATGAGCTGAAGCCATCTTCTATTCAAGAGCTGTGGCTCTGAAATTTTGTAGGGGCAAGGACCAAGTGATGTGTGACCTTGGTCAGTGTGACCTTACGCTGAATCCTACGAAACATTACCAACACCAAAAGCTACGAGGATGGTTCAGAGCGCCCCAAGGGCCATAAATGAAACCTATGCATTAGTTTTGTCTTTGCACATTCTTTTCAGGTTCACAACCTCTCTAGAGTTGAGATATTAAAATAACGTTGTGTATGTGTTGTAGAAAGCTGGAATTATGGTGGATTATGAAGGGCAGGTTTGAATTTCCAGTTTCCTTTGTCAGGTGCCCTGTGCATACAGATAGAAGGCAGAAAGAAAGAAAAGTGAAATTTTAGAGGGAGAGAGAGTCAGGAGGACCAGTTGGCATCAGTTTTCCTCCTGTTTCTTGCCTCTTTCTGTACTTAAGTGGTGGTAATTAGGGGGCGTAAGCTCCAGAGGAATTCTGGAGGTCTAACAGGAACCAAGAGCTATTAAGGTCCGAAATCTAGGACACTTCCAGAATTACGTACATGTACAAATTCCCTGTGGTGAATGTGGCTGATATGTGTGACAAATATGTACTAATAAAAAATAAGGTTTTAAAAAACAAAATTATCATAAAAAGATCGCTCAAAAAGAATTTCCAGCTACTTTGTAAAATCTAAAGTATAGATACTGAACATTCTTGTATACATTAAAAATTTTCTGCTGCTTTTTAATGTTGAACACCTTTTAAAATAGGTTCTCAAAATGAGTGTTTCACTTTTTGAACAATTCTACACAGAAAGTGGTCACTGTTTTCTGTGCTTTCTTTGGCATTGGCACTGAAAGTGGTTTCACATTCCTACTTTTGTGTGGAGGGTTACAGAAGGTGAGGGAGGAAAACAGATGCTGGCCAATAAGGGAACAAACCTGCCTGGAGATGTAATTCTGCTTCCTCTTAAATGAGAAAAGCCTCCATTCTGCCCATGCTCCCTGATGTAACTGAATGATACCCATTTTAGAACAAGCTCTGAGAACTAGCAGTGCTCGAATTCCTGGCAGGTAATCTGGCCATGCAAAGAGAAGAAAATGATAGTCATTCAAAGTCATATCAAAAAGAGAGATTTCAAATAAATATCAGTCCACTTATACATCAGAGATAATGTAAGCACACTTCTGTAATTGGAATGGCCAGTGCGTAGACTTCGTGAAATCCTTTCTTCCAATTACTTTTGATCATTTCTTGCTAGAGATTACAGGCTATAAATGAAGATAAACCGCTGGGGGTTTTCTGTTTTGTTTTGTTGTGTTGTGTTGTTGTTTGCCATGGAAATCCTAGTCTTCCTTATTGATACCCCGGGGAGAGTCTGAACCTTAGAGTTATTCTAAGTGGCCTTTCCCATCTTGGTTGGTGTTTTGTTCTTTCTACCTGAGAAAATCATGGTAAGAGAAGTCATCAGAAATTATGTTTCTAAAACTGTGTGTCTAATACAAGGATTTTGAAAAAATTACAGTCCAAGAAGTCTGAGAAACGTGCCTATCATTTGTCTTTTCTTTGAATAAAAACACAAGGGAAATGGAAGAAGGAAAGAATGGTTTTCTTTCAGGAAAAAAAAAGTTCAAAACACTGAATATCATTCTAACTAAAAGAGTGGGATATGCATAAATCCAGGAAGAAAAACCCCAGAATGCCACACTCCCAGACTTAGGAATTCTGAGTCATAAACCGGCACTTAAAACATTAGTGGGTGAGTGTCAGGCTCGAAAAGAATCCCTCCAAAGACAGATTCTAAGTCTGAGTTCTCAAGCCTGACGTTTTCAGTTGTCTGTGGTGTTTCACAGTCTGTAGGAAGAGCCTCCCTGGATCCAGTGGATGTGGATAAATGAGAAATTAGCGAAACTTTAGTGACAGGAGCCTTTTCACAAACCGAGAGGAGCCTGTGTCCACAGCTTCTGTTCATGGATACCTTTTGCAGTAACTGACTCAGTTACTGCAGTTAAATTCCCGTTGAGCGTTAAAGTTGAACACTTCTTATACTGAAAACCTAATTATGCTTACAATGTTTTCCTAATTGGAAAAAAAAAACATGAAAGAGAAGTACACAACCATGTAATTCATGTGAAGTGAATATTTAAAAAAAAAAGAAATCTATTATATTCTAATACTTAAAATAAGAAGCTTTAAACCTAAACACATGATTGAGGATCCAAACATTACATTCAGAACTGAATGTACATGTGAACACTTTCCACTTCAAGCAGCTTGATACCTTTTTACAGCCTGACTCAGGGACATTCTATATGGTGGTCACATAAATTTTAAATAAGGCGTTCATTTAATTCGTCTGCAAATTTTATCATCTAGCAACTTTGGCAGTGGTTCTTAAAGTTAACTCACTAAGCAGCACAAATGCTTATTTAAAAGACTGTTACCTAAGGAATGCCAACCTGTTTTTACCAGGGTCTCTGTAGCTACTTGTCAGATCGTTCTATTAAGGCTTGAGACTGCTTTGATTCTTGTTGGTAGCTAAGGAGAGAGAGAGAGAGAGAGAGAGAGAGAGAGAACTTTGACCCAGCAGACACACCAAACACACACTTACCTTCAGGGCTGGCAGTGTTTGTAGATGGGAACTGAACTCTCCCAGCTGTCCCGGTTGGTTCATAAGAGAAATAAATGGGTTAAGTGTGAGAGTCACTGTGCGCGGGAGGGTGCCAGAGAAACCGAATTAGGTGGGGCTGGCTGGCTCTGTCTTGCTGGTGTAATACAGCACCCAGAAACCAGACAGACCTGCTCCTCAGCCTAAGCAGTAGTAGAATATCACCTCATTCAGGCCTTTAACAAAAAAGGGGAAAAAAAACCCAGCCCTCCAGTGTTCATAGGTTGGTTGTTTGCACTTTTAGGCAGGCTAGTTCTTCACAACTGTGCCAAAACTAGGATGTCTATTTCTTCCCCCCAAGCATAACCCAGGCTGGAAGTTTTGGTAATCTCCTGTCGTGCATCAGGAATTTCTGAGACATGCTAGGTTTCTTCTCCACAGGTGAAAAAGCTCTGAGGAGACGGGCTGTGCACCATGCTCTCAGCCAGCTAGCTCCATGGCACCCATAAGCAGATCTTCTTGCAGTTGGTTGCCCTGATTGTGCACATAAAGCCTGAATGGGGAGAATGTACAGAGGGTCAGGAGGGAAGGTTTGGCTTTCAGTGCATGGAAATCGGCTTTGGAGTAAGTCACACTCAGTGCCAAGTGTGTGGATGTGTGTGAGTGCTGGGCTCTTAAGAATACTGTGGAGTACAACCTTAGTGAAAACTGCCAGGACTCAGGTCGGGTTGCTGGCTGACTCTCAGGAACGGGAACATGTGGGGGATTTGGGGGAGGCGGTTAAGAATGGCCCTGAGGTCCTGAGTAATCCTGGCAGCCTTTGGCGAAGTAGTTTCCATCCTGTGTTCCGTTTGCTTTTACTCTCAAGTTAGAAGCTAGAGAGTTTCAGAAGTGGCCAAGTAATGCTTGACTAAATACTAGAGATCAATAGCAGCCAGGTTTGCTCCCCCACTGCCTTTCCCAGCTTGTGAAAGGGAAAAGAGTGAAACTGAGAGATGCTGCACATCCACATTTGGGAGCTGGCGCCAAGGTCTGCTCAGCTCAGGATGTCTGGGTTGCATGCTTGGTTTCTGCTGTACAAAGAGATAGAGTTCCATTTGCTGGGAGAGAAAATGAAACTTAAGCTACAATGCAGGAGCTAAGAAGCTTGCAGCAAAATGCAAACAGTCTGCCCAGTTCATTGGGCCCAGCAAAGAACAAGGTAATTCTATAGTTTTAAACTTTCGTTGGCCCAAAGTTCCCTTCAGCTTTCAATTATAAATTAAAACGAATCCTAAGGAGTATTCCTATGGGACATTTAAACCATATTGGCTTGTCTGCTATGAAGAGAAGTGAATTAAGTTTAATCAAACAACTGAATGCTGAGCAATAGGGTAGAACTCATGTGGTTATTTTCAGATTAGCCAGTTACTAAGAAAAGAATCCACCGAAGAACAGTCTTTGAAAATCTTTCTATCTGTATTTGGAGAGCTGAAAATGACTGAGACCCATGGGATGTACTGTGTCCTGGGCATTTTTCTAAATGCGTGTGGGGTTATCATTACTCTGAGCAGTCTTAGCGTTAGGGACTGTAGCTGTAGCAGGCGGGGACATTCCAGTCTCTTCTGCTACAGCTCTCCAGGGACACTGTCACAAGAGTCCAGACTAAGCTCTCATGACCTTCTTTCCGGGAGACTTTGACTGAGGCTTCAGAATCCTTCTCGTCTTTACCCACCTCCCAACCTGGAGCAGCTGATGAGAACTCTGTTTACCTTCCCCGTCCTGAGCCCATCTGGAAATAAAATCATTGTAGAAAAGCCATGCATCAATTTAATGACTCAGTTGTCCCTAGGTGCAATCAGAAACCTTGGCTAAGCCACCTGAGTTGGAGCTCAGAAGGAATGTATTTTGCCAAATAAATGAGTCTTATCAAGATGCAGTTCTAAATATATACCATGTAGTAGGTGTGATCAGAGGTCCTTCCAGAGTAACTAACTAGCAACAAATAAAAAAGGGATGATTACTTGGTAATTTGATTAGTCAAACCAACTGAAATGATGCATTATATAAAGTTATGTGATGCTTATATAACTTTTTTTAAAAATTACATTTACTTTGGTCTGGCTCTTGCAATTTGTGCTCTTTAAAAACTACATTATATACTGGGAGGGAAAAATATCTCTATCTTAAGAACATAAAGACACAGTCCTGTTACTGATGGATCTGAAAACAGAAACAGAAAATTGTTTGGGCCCATACCAAAAAAGAAATCAAAATCACTGTCCTAGGGCTGAAAGGGAATCTCAATGGTAAAGAAATTGCTTCACATGAGGAAGGCTCTTGCTCAAGGGTCCCGAACATCACAAATGAAATAAAACACAAGACAAGACAAAACAAAATTTGTTCTAGATCCAATATAGCATCTTTTTGTAGAATTTTTTAAGAGTCAAATACCTGATGTAGGTGTCTCACACTGAATGTGGTTTGTATAGACAGCAGTTTGTAAGTTTTGAAACAGGGTACAAAATTGAGTTAGGATTTTACTTCCCCATAGAGCAATGAGACCGTTAAGCAACAAATAAGTAATTCACTAATAATAAAATACACTTAATGGTGATTAAAAAAAAGAATTGATGAGAAAAATGGAAATGGAGCTATTGCAGATCAGAAGGGGAACAAGAGTTGGAGAGAGCAGAGAAGGAAGAGAGGGGAAGGGATGGAAAAGAATTAAGATGTCTTATGTATACATGCAAATTCATGCACGTTCAGTGTAATCATCACATACTGTGCACATGTACTAAATAGATAAAAAATAAACTCAGTATGCTGGAAGGCTGAGGTAGGATGATTTCAGTTTATTTTAGAGAAAAGCCATGTCAAAAGAAAAAAAAAAAAAAAAGAGATTCCAACATTGTGATATTATTTGAGAGAACTTCAATAATATCCTTTATAAATAAAATAATTTAAAATAGGTGAAATTTTAGTTTGGAGCCAGCAGCATTTAGTTTCTTTAAATATTTTGTCAGAAGGAAATTAGGAGAATCATTGCCATAAATACTAGTAGTTGTTTAACACACAAGCTTATCTTTATCCTGTTAGGTCATATAGCATTACAAGCTTCTAGACTTCATCATAATTTAATGCAAAAGTTAACTGCTTTATTTTGGTGCAAAGGAAACTTTAGCATGATGGTCTTCCTTAAGTAAATGATGACAGCACATTGTATATACTTGCATGCATACTTATGTAAATTTTGAGCTTAGGAAAGTTGTAAAGCTGACAAGTTCCTAACATTAGGTTTAAGAGACAGATTCTCATCGATTTTTCTCACTGAATTCAGCCAACAGTTCAAAGAAGTAAACATTACTATAACCATCTGTTGCATTCCTATTTACACATATATGAGAAAATGTTTTGTGAGTAAAATACTGTTGCTAAAAGATTAAAATCAAATGGATGCTGAAACAAAGCCTATCTTGCTGTATTCAAAAATAACAGGTATCCATGGATGCCCAAAGCAACTGTAAAACAAAACCCTCACTCATATCCTGCAGAGATACATTGCTAATAAAATCTTGGATTGCATGATCAACATATTTATTAGAATTTGAAATGAATTATGTTATTAATTGGGTGAGAACCTTATCCAGGTTGTTCTTAAAGTAAGTTCTTGATCGTAATTGTTACAGAAATTAAAAAGTGTATATTTAGTGGGGGGGGGGTTGTTTTTCAAAGAAGTAAGCCAAGATAATAATCACTCACTTTGAAATATAATTGCAAAGATGATAGTCTAAGGCAGAAATGAAATAGATACAAGTTGAAAGAAAATGAAAAGAATAAAATTTTTAGTACATAAAATTTATTGAAGAAATATTTAAAAGGGTATATGAGAAGGTATACTTACTGGTGTTAAAATTATATTTTGAAATGCCCATTTTTATACATGCTGGAAATTACATGTTTTACAGCTATTTAAACATATATATATAAAAGGAAAAGTTTGATGCCTTTGTCAGAAGGTACAAGAAGATGCAGATTTTTCAAAGCTAGAAAACATTATCCAGACAATTTGGAGACTGTTGATTTACTGCATCTGTTATGTTTGGAGTGATAAGATAGCAATTTTCAATAATTTCTAAATGATGCTTCGTATGCTTTGAGCTATGGAGAGGTTCAGGAGTTTGTATTGGGGGTATTTTCCTGCGCACTGTTTAGGGGCTGACATAAGTGATTCACTGTGCATTTTCGTCTTGTCTTCTGGACCTAAGAAAAATAGAGTTTGCCAAAGGTGATGGAACTACTTACAAATTCCTGCTCTCTTCAGCGTGCCCTTCCCCGGAAAGGGTGCCCTGGCACAGGTTAGGAGAATGGCATGGGGCACAGGTGTCCCCTGTAGGATCGTCACCCGGTGTCAGAGCTGTAGGACTCCTCTCCGGGTGGATTCTCCAGACTGCACTCTCTGCAGCAAGCTTGTGCGTGGTAGCACAAACACAGGCCAGCAAGCCACAGAATCCTACTTATTCTCATGCTGGGAATCAGACCCAGGACCGGCTGCAAGCCAGGCCAGCACTTGGCTCCTGAGTTACGCACCAACACAGCCCAGCCTGTTTGCTTACCAAGTCTTGGTTTTGCCAGTTGGGTCACCTAGCCATGGCTAAGCACCATCCCATTTCCAAGATTTCGCAGTACGACACGGAAAGTGAGCCAGGTCTCCTACCTGCCAGTGGGGAATCAGCGAGATAAGATAGATAAAGTTATGTTTGCGCTTTGGCCATCAACCTACTTAGGTCCAATTAGTGGTAAATGTGATGATTTCTGTTTGGAGACGGGAAAAATTGAACCTTGAACATGAAAAAAGTTTAAACTAATCTGATGTAGTGTATGAATCGTATATTGTGTTATTTTACATCATGTCTATAGCTTGGCATCACAGTGGGCCCAAAGTATTTATGAAATGAGAACTGAGTGATGGGTTCTTCTATTTAGATTCTTTTTCCTTTATAGGGCATCTTTCCCTAATCACACTTGGAAACTGCAACCCCTCTCTAGACTTTTTTATCTCCCAGCTGTGCTCTTTCTCCTCTAGTTCCTGCTGCCTTCACCACCCCTGTGTCTGTCTTAGCACGGTGCTGATTGTCAGTTCCTGCATAGAAACCAGCTCGGACAGTAGAAGTTTGTTTATGTTTTCAAACTTACTTTACATTAGTGCTGAGCTGAGACCTGATGCAGAGTAAACGCTCCATCAGCCCTTGCAAGAGTGAATAAGTGAGTGAAAAGCAGATGAATAAACACATAGAACTGTTTAACAATAGTAACAAGACACAAGGGAATGTACTAAGCATAAATATCTGCAAACCCCACTTCTTTTGGTTGTTTTCCAGAAGACTCCTTCTTTTGTTGGCTCTTTGTTGGCCTAAAGCTGACTGCATTTCAGTTGAAGACATTTCTTGGGCATTTTGGATGCATATACAGTCCCACGAGCAATTCCCTTTCACAGTTGTTGAGATGGGGACTCATTCAGAAGAATTTCTGACCTTACACACAGTGGGTTCAAACTACAGACATAGAGAATGATGGATACAGGCAGAGATAAGGGGAGAGTGGTGGACTGAAGAAATATTTCCTTCTGATTTCTTGATTTTTAATGACAAAATAGAGAGTGAAATTTTGG